TCTCAAGACAGCTTCGATTGCGGTCATGACGAGCACAACGGCAGAAAACTCTTCCGCTGAGTGGTGGGAGTCCGACATGATATGTAAAGCTGAGACAGGCTGGATCAGATTAAAACCAGCAAGATCAGTATCGCGAGATCGACGACATCAGCAACATGGACGCGCCGCAGATCAGGCACGATTAGGCCCCGTGGAGCGTGGCAATACGTAACAACGCATTTCGCTCGTGGCGTGCATAGCTTTCACACAAGACCCTGATTTCCCTGAAAATACGAATTATTCCTCAATCATTAAGGGTCTGTGAATATTTCATTTCCACAAAAATATATGTGAAAGTTTGCGAACAGGCCATAACAGAAAAGATGACATGTGCATACAGAGCCTGGCAACCACCACCGTCATCCTTGGCTGAGTCAGAGCAGGTGGGGAGCCACGTGGCGAAAAGCTCCGCCCTCCACTTCGACTCGAAAGTCAGGACTTGATTTCTGAAGGACCGGCCGGATGAGCTACTCACCTCTCACTCTTGGTCGCATTCTTGCCACCACTCTCTCCCCCATCCACAATGACTGCACCAACATCACAGGCTTCCAAGCCTCGCCTTTTCATCCTCGACTACGGAGCCGGCAATGTCTGCAGGTGAGCTTGCTCCCACCGCCCATACTGACAGTAGTCTCGCAAACTCGATCAGCCGGCTCGGGTACGAGTTCGAGTGGATCAAGGACGAGTCGGACTTTGACAAGGCCGACGTGAGTGGTCTCGTGGGAACGGCCTCCTCCCTTCTGTCGCACACACCCAGCTGACAGCAGAAACTCCTCTTCCCCGGCGTCGGCGCCTTCCAGCAGGCCGCGGGCATGCTCAAGACGTCGGGCATGATGGCGCCGCTGCTGAAGTACATCCGGTCGGGCAAGCCGTACTTTGGTATCTGCATCGGCCTGCAGGTGCTCTTTGAGAGCTCGACCGAGGCCGAGGGCGCCAAGGGCCTCGGCGTGATCCCGTACCAGATCTCAAAGTTCAACGCCGCGGACGGTGGCAAGAAGAGCGTGCCGCACATGGGATGGAACAGGGCGTGGCGCGCGCACGCGTCAGACAAGCCGGCCGGCGAGGCCGATGAGCTCGTTCTCACCGGCGAGGACTACTATTTCGTCCACTCGTACGCGGCGCTTGTCGGGCGCGGCACGCCTGAGCGTGAGGCTGCGCTCAAGGACTTTGCATACACCGTCTCGCGGTACGGGAGCGAGCTTTTCGTCTCGTCCGTCCGTCGCGGCAACGTCTTCGGCACCCAGTTCCACCCCGAGAAGTCTGGGCCGGCCGGCCTTGACCTTCTCAAGCGCTGGCTCAACGCATCAGTTGAGGAGCTCTCGGCGCCCCCGCACCCCCTTACCACCCGTGACGAGGGCGCCTGGGTCGACCAAGACCCGCGGCCTGCACCCGCGTCGTCGAGCGGCCTTACGAGCCGTATCGTCGCGTGCCTCGACGTGCGCTCGAACGACAACGGCGACCTCGTCGTCACCAAGGGTGACCAGTACGATGTGCGCGAGAAGGCCGAGGGCGGCAACGTGCGCAACCTTGGCAAGCCTGTCGAGCTGTCGCGCAGATACTACGAGGGCGGCGCGGACGAGATTTGTTTCTTGAACATCACCAGCTTCCGGTCGAATGCTCTGCAGGACCAGCCCATGCTCGAGGTTGTGCGCACGTCTGCCGAGACCGTGTTTGTGCCCCTCACCGTCGGCGGAGGGATCAAGGACACGGTCGACCCGGACGGGACGAAGCGGTCGGCGCTCGAGGTCGCCGGCGCCTACTTCCGCGCCGGGGCGGACAAGGTGTCGATCGGCTCGGAGGCCGTCATCAACGTCGAGGAGATGATGGCGCGCGAAGCGCGCGGCGAAGAGCCATTGACGGGCACAACGGGGATTGAGACGATCGCGAACGCGTACGGCGCGCAGGCTGTCGTCGTCTCCATCGACCCTAAGCGGGTGTACTATGACACGACGCAGCCGGACTGGATCGAGGCTGTGCCTGAGGCGCACCGCGCCACGCTCATCACGGGCGAGACGAGCACAACGCGCACCAAGCCCGACGAGGCCGGCAAGGCGTGGTGGTACCAGTGCACGATCAGCGGGGGGCGGGCGGTGCGCGACCTCGACGTGGTGCAGCTCGCGCGCGGCGTCGAGCGCCTCGGCGCCGGCGAGATCCTGCTGAACTCGGTCGACCGCGACGGCTCGGGCAAGGGCTTCGACCTCGACCTGATCAAGCAGGTGCGCGCGGCCGTGAGCATCCCCGTCGTCGCGTCGTCGGGCGCAGGGTGCGCCGCCGACTTTGAGGAGGTGTTTGAGAAGACGGGGTGTGAGGCCGCGCTCGCGGCGGGCATTTTCCACCGCGGCGAGGTCGGGATCGACGAGGTCAAGGCCGACCTCGAGAGTCACGGGCTGCCTGTGCGCCGCACCGCGCTCGCTGCGTAGGCCGTGGCTTGTAATAGATTAGACTGCATGCAGGGGGAATGGGTACATCACGTCCTCGCGGCTCTCGGCGCATTCCTTTCATCACGGCATCGACGGCCCCGCCGCTCGCTCGGTCCTTCGCTGATTCCCTCATGATTGCAGCGCAAAAGGCGTCGGAAGTCTCGAACGCCAGCATTGCTGATACCTGCTGAGCACATTCACGTAGGGGACAAAAGAGAATCGATCCTCTTTAATTTCAGGTCCCCCCGCATGGCCCAGCACCCGCTGGTCATCGCTCGCTCTTGACTGTCAGCGCACAGACCACGAGTGGAGAATCCTCGCTGTATACTTCTCTCGCGCTTCAGCTATTCTGTGCATTGGATACATTGCTTGTTACAGATGTTGGAGCTCTAGATAACGCGCTGACACTTCACCCGATCCGGCCTCCGTCAGTCTCCTCCTCACACGCTCTCACCACGTCACCCGCGGTCGACCGCGGTGCGGATCTCGCCCACTCGCGCCCGCATGCCTAGCAGCGTGTTTGGCGCGATGCGCATGACCGTGTCGAGGATGAACCGCACGCGACGATTCACGCGTGCCATCTCACCCGCGTTGGCCTCCATCGCCTGCGCGAGCTCGTTGAGCGTCCGGAGATCCCGCGCAAACGTGTACGTCGGGAGGTCTTCGGCGTCAATCTGTTTCGCAGCGACGCCCCACGCGGCCATGATCACAAGGTCGAGCGTCGCGTTCCACACGTACTCTTCGACGTCGGCGACACCGCCGGGCACGGAGCGAAGCTCGCGCGTCGCGAAGCGGCGCACGAGCGCCTCGGCTTCGGCGACGGGCCGGCCGTCCGGGTCGCGCATGAGGAGGCCGAGGTCGTGCGCCGTCTTGTGGATCCACGAGTCGCCCTCGCTCATTATCAAGACTTGGAGATAGGATGAGAGAAGATGCGGCTGGTTCTGGGGCAGGAGGGCGTTGTCGATCGCGAGCTTGAGCTGGCGTCAGCGCGGCGAGCTACAAGCCTACATTCGCGCGCAGCATTTTGAGCGTGTTCTGCACTTCTTTCTTCTGGAAGTCCTCCTCGTCGAGTTGGTTCACGAAGCGGCTGAACGCGCCCACTATGAGGATGAGGACGTCGCGGTGGCTCGGCCCTATACGGGCCGCGTATACGACGGGGAACTCGCTCGCATTCTTCTGCAGGAGCATGTTGAATGCGTGGTCGCGCACGCGCGCGATGAAGTCGAGGTCCTTCTTGTCGATGGCTTGGTAAAGCTCGTACGCCTCTGGCGGGCGGACGAACGGCGCCGTCTTCCGGCCCTCCTGCACGTCGGCGGCCGCCGCGGCTTTCTTCGCCCACGTCCCCATCTCTTCGCGCGCAGCTATGCGCTCCACCGAGTACTGCGCGTCCTGCAGCGCCTCGGCGAGCTCGCGCTCGCGCCGCCGCTGCGCCGCTTGCCGGTCGAGCTCGAGCTCGCTCTGCGCCGCCCCCTCCTTCTTCAGCACGGTCGAGGGCGGAAGCGGCTGCAGGAGCACGGGTTCGCGCGCTGCCGCGGCGCGCAGGGGCGAGGGGGAGCGATGGGAGCCGGGGCCGGGCGAGCGGCCTGCCGGGGCTGACACTGGGCCTAGCTCGGCGGGCGCACGCGTCTTTGGCCCGCACGCGGGGGTGTGGCCGAGCGCGTCGATGACGTGCGAGTAGTTGTAGGCCATGCTGAGGTGTTGACTGATGAGTTGGTGTTGGGTGGCCAAAGATGACGGAAGAGAGGATTCAGGCACCACCCCGCATTTGCCACAAGGAACTTGCCACCCACCCAAGTGCCTCTTGGCGACCACAACAACGCTCAACCGCTCGGCAACGCCTCGGCAGCGCTCATCGCCGTTCAGATTTACACTGTCCAAGACCCATATTCGTACGGCAAGAGCAATCTATGGCTTCTGACAAGCCCTCTCTCTCCACAACGCCGCTCTTAATGTCACCCCGCACTCCGCCCCATCCAGCACGCCACCGGCCTAAATCGGTCCCGGCCACGTGGAAAAGTTCAGAAGACGTCGAACGCGCCGCCGCCGACCTTCTCGCCAACGCCCACAACAACAGATGGGCGACTCTCCCCGCTCGCGCTCCGCGTCGCTCAGCTCGGACGGCTCGGCGCTGCCCACCTTCGAGGGCATCGCGCCCCCGCGACCCCCGACGACTACAGCTGACGCCGAAACGCACCTCGCCGTGCCGGGCACGCCCGGCGTGCGTCTCAAAGTCGACGCTGGGCCCGGGTGCGGCGGCGTCGCGTGGCCTGCCGGCGAGGTTAGTGTTACTCGGGCCGTGCACGCGCTCATCAGGTGACCGCCAGAGGACTGACATCAGGTCCTCACGGCGTACCTTGCGCACCGGCATGCGCTGGCGCCCGAGCACTTGCGCGGGAAGACGGTGCTCGAGCTTGGCAGCGGGACGGGGCTCGTCGGCATCGCGGCTGCGCTGCTCGAGCCGTCGGCGGACGTGTGGGTGACCGACCAGGCGGTGCTGCTCGACCTCATGCAGGTTAATGCCGAGCTCAATGTGCCTGGTGGAAACTTGCACGTCGCCGAGCTCAATTGGGGCGAGGAGATCAGCGGCGTCCCGACCGACGTCGACGTCGTCCTCGCCGCCGACTGCGTGTACTTTGAGGTGATATGGTGCGTGGCTGTAGCTGACGCCAGCCGGCGTTCCCTCTGCTCGTCAAGACGCTGTGCGACCTCGCTCCCGTCGGTAAGGACCTTGAGGTTTTGTTCTGCTGGAAGAAGCGGAGGAAGGTAGGTCGATGATGACAGCAGGTGGCGGGCGTGCACGGTTGTCACAGACGCTGATGGCAGGCGGACAAGCGGTTCTTCATGATGCTGAAGAAGCACTTTGACTCGGAGCCGGTAGCGGACGACCCAGAGCGCGAGAGGTACAACCGCGAGGGCGTGACGCTCTTACGGCTCCGGCGGCGGCGATAGTCTGTGCGGTGATCACATGGGCATGGACGGGTTCGATACATGGCGATGAGATGATGATGAAGAAGAAAGCCTAATTGGGCGGGCGGGAGGAGTGTACACTGGCTCGGATCCGAGGAGGGACGAGGACAAGCGCTCGCAGTGTGACGAAAAAGTCAGCCGCGACCCGGTGGCGCTGGTAACAGCGCGGAAGTCACGGTGCGACCGGCGCGTGAGCGCGTGAGCGCGTGACTCGCTGTCACCTGCAAAGCCATCTGCATCTGTCCTCGCTTGAACACAACGAGTGGGAATGTGGCAACGGACACAACACATGATGCGGCATGGGCGGCGGCAGCTGACCTCGGATTTGTGAGGACAGGGGCGGGAATGTCGGATGAAGCGTTGCACTTGCGTGTCTGTGTCGATGCACAAATGTGACGGATGACGGGGGCGAGCCCGATCGTGTGAGTGCTATGTGACATGAAACCGGCCGCCCCGTACGCAGTATCAGCCAAATTGACCAAGACGGGCACCGGCGACGAGGGGACATGAAGTGGGCGGCATGGGCGGGCGAGCGGGACGCAACCCCCAGTCACATTTGATGAGCATACATTTCTGCCCTGGCAAAAGCTGGCAAAATGGGCCGCCATAGCAGAGGTCTCGGCGCTCGCCGCTCTGCCTGGCGCCGCAAGCCACACGCCACCGTCGTTTCGGCCTGGAATGACCTCCGGTTCCCACACAGGCCGTCCCCCGTCCCCAATCTGGACGAGGACGAGGACACAGGGCCCGATGAAAGGGCGATCTGCGGGCCGTGATGAGCATTGAGCACAGAATTGACGGCGCCAGATTAGCGGCGGGTGGGGGGGGAATATGGACAATATGTGGGATGCAGATGAGCTATGGATGAGCTGGGCTTGGCAGGTCATGCATGACGTGGGTCGCGAGGCCAGCCGTGAGGCGTGATGGCGAGGGGCGTGACGCGACGGACAAGGGCAGTGTAGCAGCCGTCGCGGCGACTGGCATCGCTGTGCATCACGGAAACGAGAGTAAACGAGGATGAGGCGATCGGGCATTCCTCACGTTGTGCCCCCCGTGAGATTATCCATCCAGCCAGGAACACACACACAAAGATACACAACGCGTGATCTGCATCCACACAACGTCCATCATCTGCTTATTATATCATGGCCTTGGCCTCACATCAGCATACTCCCCACTCTCCTTCTCATTGTTCTTCATCACCACCCGCGCTCGCAATCTCAACACAAAACTCCTCCGTCACCACTTACTACCTCTTCCACTCCCACCCCCACTACTCCGCCATCACCGACCCACACGTCCCCCGCGCCCTCCAGCCCCACCACGCAATGTGTGCGCCCACATCCACTCCCCTCCCGAACCAACTCAAGCTCGCCGCAGTCCCCATGCGCCGGAGCTACGCGAGCATGGGCGTCGCCCGCCCCCCATCAATGGCCCGCACCTCCCCACCCCTCGCACCCTCGATGGCGCGCGCCGCGCCGATGAGCGCCGCGTCCATGGTCCCAATGGGCGGCTACGCAATGCAGCGCTCGTCATCGAGCTATGGTGTCGATGGCAACCCGTATGCCGCCCGTGCCGCTCGATCCGCCCCGGCGAGCAAGCGTGCGCCCCGCGCCGCGCTCGCGCCACTCCCCCTGTCTCCCCTTGCGCTCGCGCCGCTCGACATCGACGCCATCGAAGCCATCGATGCCATCGAAGCGCTCGACGCCCTCGACACCCTCGAGACCCGCGAGCCACGCCCCGCAAACCTCGCGCAGCGCACCCGAGTACCGGTGAGTGGCGGTCTTGTTGACCGCGTGCCTGTCGGCCCGAATTCCGGTTCCATTCCGGTTACGGCCAGCTCCACCAGAAGCTGACAGACAGCGTCTCCACCGCGCCCGCGACGCACCGCCCCGTGCATGCCGCGTCGGCTCGTCCGACTACAGAGCGCTCGGGTAGCCTGCTGAAGCTTCAAGCTTTGCTTGGAGGCAGTGCGGCGAGCAGTTGATGATCGTCGCAAGGAGCTCCGCTGGCCGTGCCGAGCAGAGACCGAACCGAGCATGCCTCTGGACGCGGCTGCAGGCTGTAGACGCACCGCATACCGCGTTGCTGCTGGATCGGCACCCCGAGCTGGCCTCGACCCCACCCGCAGAATCATCTCCGCGTGCTTGATTGTACCCACACCCCACATGATCCGTGATCATAGTACGCACGTCCCACCCACTGTTTCGAGCCGGCACACACGCCATACCCTGTATCCTTAGCTCTCTAGCATGAATGACCACTACCATTGTCATCCCGCCCACTCCTGCCGTTAGGATTGTGATCATCTCGAGTCTGGAGCCGACCGATTGCCTCGTGCCCAGACGAGGCATGTGAGCAGAGCCTGATCGAGAACCCGCGAACCTTCCTGTGCATCTGTGCGGGCATGTGCCAACGCTTCCACGCCACGTTAGTCGCTCGACGGCACGTGCGGCACGTGCGCGGCACAACAAAAAACTACATTAGGCTGCCGGCGTCTGGGCGGCAGCGTGCAATGATACCAAGCACAAGCTGGTCTAGTCTCTACGCCATGTCTGGGCGGTCGGCGGGTGCGATCTCGTCTGTGGGCGCGAAGCGCGCGCGCGCAATAGTGTCGCCATTGACCATGTCGACGGCTTCGACGCGGACTCTGGCGGCCGCCTCGTCCGCAACGATCCCCGCCGCGAGGTTGCGCCGGAGGGTGCGCCGGAGGCAGATGTCGCGCGGGACCTCGACCCACACGCGCAGATCCATCGCGGCCGCTGCGTCGCGCCACCCCGCGGCGTCGTACAGCGTGTACAGGCCCTCGATGACGACAACGCGGTGTGTCGGCTCGATCGGGCATGCCGCAGGCGCCGGGTCTTTGGCTGCATGGTCGAATGTCGGGAATGGGAGGGATGGGGATGAAGGTCTTGTCGGTTTCCGAAGCTCCCGCACGAAGGCACAATATGACGGCTGGTCAAACGTGTGTGCTGCGCCCTGCGGTTAGCGACGGCTGCTTGCTGTTGGGGTAGTGGTGCGAGGCAAGTGCTGGGGTTGTGTTGGGGAGGTGATCGCACGATGGCGTCCGGTGCGAGAGATAGCTGCAACGTACCCGCCACCAGTGTGCTTCCTTTGGGTCTGCAAAAGCGTCGAGCTGCTCGCGCGAGTAGTGCCAACCGTCGATGCCGACACAAACGGCGGGCGCAGGGGATGCACCGATGAGCTCATTAACGCGCTCCACCAGGGGGTGGGCGAGCGTGCTCTTGCCTGATCCTGGGCGACTGGCGTCAGCAATCTGCTTGTCCTGTAGCTCTGCAGCGTTAGCTCCCACGCACCCCGCAATAGCAACCAGGAGGCGAGGACCGGTCGCGCCCGGCGGCAGACTGGCGTCAGCGCTCCCACTAGAGTAGAATCTCTCGTCGCTCCACATATCCCCATTGTCCATTGTCCACCTCCACTCGACGTGATCGGGGACTTACTGGGCGTACGCGGCCGCGATGCGCTGCGCGAGCCGCTCGACCTCGGGGTCGAGGCCGGGGGATGGAATCATCGCATGCGTCTGAGCACTCCAATGTAGATGGGGGATGATGAGATGCAGAGATCGGACAGGCGCGTCCGACCAGGTTAGACGTGTGGTGAGTCGCCGTCCCGCCTGAACTTCGGATAAACGCGAGACGACATCATCTCCGGATCCCGGATCGCCACCACGATCCCAAGACTTTCCTCAACTCTCCAGGTACTCCCAGCTTCCGTCTCCAGCATGGGCCTCTCGCAGAGCCAGCCCTCTGACCCAGCACCGACACCACCGCGCTCCGGCGTTGCGGCGTACTTTCTGCCCGCGCCGAGCGCGCAGTTGACGCACGACCATCCCCGCTCCGCGGCGACCGCCGCCGCCATCGAGGCGCACCTCCTCGACCGCCTGCCGCCAGATATCGTGCAGCGCATCCTCGACATGGCGGGGATGTGGGTCGTGTGCCGGCGCACAAATCGGCGTCCGCTCGTCGTGCAAGCTGGCGGGGCGGAGCCACACGGTGTCCGCGGCGCCGACTGGAGCACGGGGCAAGAGGGCGAGGTGCATAGCTTGCGAGACGGCCCGGGGGACGTGTGGTATCTCGTCTCGGCGCCCGTGGGGTGCATCTCGGACGAGCAGGAGCGGGCAGGGCGGGAACGGGAGGACTGGGAGGCGCTCGATGGGCCCACGGTGCTGGGGCACGAGCGAGCGGCGTGGATCGCTGCGAGTCGGAAGCAGCGCCTTGAACGCAGTGCACCAGGCGAGGATGAGGATCGGATTGGAGAAGGAGAAGAAGAAGAACGAGGCGAGGAGGATAAGTCCGACCGCCCGACGTGGTGGCTCCGCCGCATTGTCCTCGAGACGTTTTCGCGCGACCAGGGGTGGACGGTCAACGACGACCACTACGGTGCGCCACTCCGTGCGCCATCGCCAGGCGCAGAGCTGACAGCAGGCACGTATGTGTGGTCGTACTCGTGGTTTGAGCTCGGCCTGCTGCGGAACGGACGAGAGGTCGGGGAACGGCATCTCGTGCAGTTCAATGTGGTTGGTGAGTCCGAAGATACAACTGGAGGGAGAACGCTAACGCCAGCCGGCCAGTACTTCAAGGTCCATCGCATCGAGCTGGACGGGACACACCCGCTCGTGCAGGCAGCACGGGACGGGGACCGCATCGTGGTCTGGGTGCGGGCGATAGAGCCCGGGTGGCAGAACGTGGTCAAGTGAGTGATCGGCGCCTGATGCGCTTCACCTACTGCACTCAGCTAACGACAGACGAGCAGCGCTGACGCTGCATGCGGCACCCTACGCACCGCAATAATTTCCTCTCTCTGTAGCCTCTCCGTGTTGTACTTGGCCTCTTGAGCCGGCTATGCCACTTATTTTGGCGCAAGTAGCCCCAGCGCAAGTATCCCCAGCTGAGGATAAGCAGTTGGATGCTGGCTGCTGCCTGTCCCAGTCAATTGGTGACAACCAAGACCGCACGCGTCCCCTTCGACCATCGACCGCTGCTATGACCTGTGCTATGCATGCAATGAAACTACCCGCGCTTAAACTTGCGCTCCTGCTTACGGTCCTTTGCGGCCTTGCGCTCGCCCGCCTTGCGCTTCTCCTCCTTCGTCGTGTCGATGAAGCGGTACACGGTGCCGGCAGGCTTGGCGAAGGTGGTGGGCTGCACGGGCGGCACCCACTTGGGGATGGGCTTGGGCTCGGCCGCCGCAGCGGCCGCCTTGCGGTCGGCAATGACCTCGGCCTCGTCCTTGAACTGCCACGCCTCCATGACCATGCCCTCGTACTTGGCCTGCTTGTGAAGGTCGCCGAAGGCACCGCCGTGGCCTGTGCTGTGCTCCTTGATCCACTCTTCATCCTGCTCCGCCTTGGTCGAGGGGTGGAGGGCACGCGCCTGCTCCTCGGCTCGGCGTGATTCCAGAGACACAGTCTTGTTCTTGACGGGGCTCTTGACGTCGAGGAGGACCTCCATGCGGTTGTGGAAGGCATGTTGGAGAGGAAGACCCTGGTGTCAGCCATCTCCTCGAGGTGGGAGGGAGGGGAGGGATCAGAAAGCCATGCATTGAGAGATTTGAAACCATGTGTGTGTCTTAAAGACTAATCGATTCGCTCATCACTGAAGTAGGATTGGAGTGGTACTCACCTGTGATGTGAAGCAATTAAGCGAGACGTGATGGCCGACGAAAGAAAAGCGCACGCGTCAGCACGGGGCACGGGTACCATCACGAGGAAAAAGTATCAGGAAGTGAAGAATGTTGTAACCACAGTTGTTATACACAGTGTGCGTCTTGTTAAAGAATGTCATGTTGTTTTGTCATCATGCTGTGCCCAAACTCACCTGGCGGACAAATTCGGCCTCGACCATCTTGAGCTTTTTGACGGCCTCGAGGCGTGCTTTGGACACGTTGTGCTTCTCTGCAATCTGCCCCACCGTCACGCCCGGCTGCTTCAAGTCCTCCGCCAACACGTCCATCAGGTCGTTCGACAGCGGTGGTGGTGGCCGGAACGACGGGTTGGACGGGTATGGCTATGGTCAGCCGGCGCCGCGGACAGTCTCACAATGTGCCCGCCGATCCACTTGGCCCGCTGCCCCTCCGGCTGCAGCCGGTACTGGTCGCCGTAGCTGCGGAACCAGCGCCAAATGGCCGGCACCTCGTCGGGCGCCACGTCGTCCATGACGCTCGAGAGGGGCTTGCCGTCCGCGTCCAGGGGCACGTCCTCGTCGCGCCGCTTGCGCGCCGCGGGCACCGCATACGCTCTCCTTCCGGAGGCGGAGGCAGCGGCGGCGGCGAGCGGGCGCCCGATGTGCGGGAGGCGTGAAGGCCCAGCGACGGCGGTGGGGAAAGACATGGGTGATGGCGTCTTTTGAGGTCGAGCCAAGTCTCAACTTTTGCCGGGCAAAAGGCAGACACCCATCGGAGGCGGCCGGCGTTTCCGACTGGCGCCACGAGGTGTGGCACTTTTTTCCGCCGTCTTGTCTGAACGTTGAGATTACGATCAAGATCCAAGATCAAGAGCAAGACACCATCTCCAGCACGCACGCACGATGAACGCGCCGCCCCACAAGCTCATCTCGCACCTCAACAACGTGTCGCGCAACCTCCGCGGCCAGACTGCGCTGCCCTACTCGCGCGCATCGCTCGGTGTCGCCGGCGCCCTCCTCCGCCACGGCCTCATCTCCAATGTCACCCTCGGCACACCCACACACCCCAACCCCACCGAGTTCCACCAGCTGTCTCCACCCGCCCAGCGCGTCTGGGTCAACTTCAAGCACCGTAACGGCCTTCCCGTCATGCGCCGCATCAAGCTCGTGTCCAAGTCGAGCATTCGCAAGTTCGTCTCGCGCGAGGAGCTCGGCCGCATCCTCCTCGGAAAGGAGACTCGCAACATTCACGGCGCCGGCACCGGCGAGGTCTTCGTTGTCAAGGTTCCCGCCGACCGCTCCCTTAACCGCAAGGGCGCCGACATCTACATGGAGGGCTGGGAGGCATACCGCGCCGGTCTCGGCGGAGAGGTCATCTGCCGGGCGTCGTAAACGCCCCTCCCCCGCCGCCGTTGCTGCCGCCTGCCGCCCGCGTCCGCCGTCGCTCAACATCGCATAGCACACCGCTCCTACTGCATTAATACCGCCCATTCATACCCCACGACGCGCAGATGTACTCCCTATGACAAATGGTAGTTGAGGATGCTGGGTATGGAGGTGCTGATGGGTCTTTTTGAAGAAGTTATACAACACGGGGAGGGAATTGCGCAAGACCGTAGGCGTGTACTTGCTTGATGCGCTTGAGATGGCGCTCGATATCTGCCGCCACCGCTTTCTCGTCGTCAAATCGGCTGTCGAGGCGATAGTGGTCTCATGTCAGTGTTGGCAAACTGTTGAGCCTACCTCGCAGCTTTGTGTTGTACCACAAGCCTAGTGGTAGTAGACCACAGCCGTCTGCTCGGTCCTTCCCGCCGAGAAGTCTTGCGATGTCTCGGCCGGACTCCAGCTGCTTGAGCTGGCGATCGCGGTCACCGAACAGGTGTTGGGCGGTGGTGAAAGCGAAGATGAGCGCGTAGAGCACATTGAGTTTGCCTCTCCGGCACACTTCATACGCGAATGTGAGCTTTCGCCTGTTTGGTTAGCGTGAGATCTCCAAGGTAACGCACTTGGAGGATACGCGTTCATGATCAGTCAGACTGAGGAGGAAGAAGCCCACAGCATTCAAAGCGCCGTTGGTGCCAGCCCTGCATTGGTCTGCCATGACGTTCACCTTGGTCGCGCGATCAAGATCTGAATGAAGGTTTGAGAAGCCGCCCTGCACAGCCATGAGGTTGATGTCGACAATGAGCCGCATCTCCGACCCCGCGACGAGCAGGCTCTGCGCCGCTCGGTAGTAACGCACGGCCTGGTCAGGGAGGCCGATGGAGTGCATGATGTGTCCGTAGAGCAGGGCCAGCTGGTGGGAATGAGTGAGGAACAGGTTGTTGTCGTGCAGTATGCTGACAGTCTTGGTCATGATCTTGGAGTCAGCGTGCGCGTATGTGGTTTCTCACGGGTTTGACCTGCTCGAAAGAGCTCCGGCACACGAATGCGAGAGCTTCCTCCATCAACATTTCCGCACGGATCTTGTTGATCTTGTGCCGAAGTTCCAGCGCGTCTGCGACCCCGTGTCTAAAAGAGACTGATGTCAGCCTTGATGCAATATGAGCGGCTTACATCCAGAGTCCCACAAGTCATCGGGGCGAGCAAAATCCTCATACTGGCGCATCGCGCGAGTATGGTTGAGAGTCCTGCACTGCTCGACAGTTCCCAGCAGGTCGCGTCGGCTGACCACCGAGGTTAGGTAAGTCAAAGCCCAGAGCACATTGACAGGCGTTGACTGGACCAAGATGTGCTGCGTCAAGCCGCCGGGTGTGCGCAACGGGATCTGCAGGTCAGCCTGCGGCTCATAAAGTGCAGCTCACATTCACCACTCCGCCGGACTTGCGCATCTCGGCCAGCTTGCCCTTGTCGATGGCAGCATCCATGAGGGGATACAGCCGGCTGAGTTGCTTCTTGGCGTTTACGTCGTCACCAGCTCGCCCATAGTGCAGGGCGCGCATATTGAGGAAGTGCATGAGCAGGACGAGACGGAAGGACGATGTAGCCGGCTCGCCCGAGGTGTGCACCTCGTCAGTACCGAAAAGGGCCTCACTCTCGTCAAGAGTGGTCAGGAGGTTATCCCAGCGCCGCAAGGAAAAGTGCGCCCGTATGCGAATAATGCGAGCTAGAAGGACGACATCCTGGTGTCCTTGCGCCTCAGCATCCGCCTGCGGTCAGCACGGCCAGATCCGCCACGGGAAAAAGAGCTGACCTCAAACTCCTTAACGACCTGTAACAACTCGACGTTGCCCGCCTTGAGGAGGTGGTTCATGTGAAGGAGGTGGAGGTTGTAGCGGTGTGCAACATCTTCTCTTGATAATTAGCTCGCATTCGGCGCGGAAAATCACCTGGGAGTGGACGCCAACGCGTGCTTGATGATCCGCTTCGCATGGTTCGCCTTGTCTTTCATGAAAGCGAGACGAGCGCTCACAAGCTCCACGCCTTGGCGGTAGTGTTTAAGGTGGGGGCTTCGTGCCGCGGCGAGCTGGGGTCAACTCAACCTTCCTCCGCAGAACTCACCGTCTTCGTCATGACGTCCTCCACATCAGACGCGAGGCGCTTGTGGTCAATGATGAGGTGCACTCGCGCGAGCTCCTCCTTCGAGAGCATCTTCTTGACCGGTTCCTCCGTCGCGAGGACCTTTGCTGCGACAGTCGCGAACTCGAGGCCAAAAGCCGCGCGTTCCGAGTCAGACAAATTGGGCAGGTAGAAGCCCGTGCGGAGAAGATCCAGCGCCATGACGAGGAGGCGCAGCGCGGTGTTGAGCGCCCCCGAGTCGTGAGTGAACAGGACGTCGCCCGAGGGGGTTTGGCGCTTCATCCCGCCCTTGTCACCGTCCTGCACGTGCTGCGGGACAAAGACCTGCTGCAGGTGATAGGTAGCGCTGTGATGTGCAGAGACCGCCGCATGGAAGAGCAGCGGGCCAGTGGGGATGGCGTCTGGCAGCGGCGCTGGCGCGGGGGACGGGGTGGGAACTTGCGAGGGAACGGCTCTTCCCGCCGGTGTTGTGGAAGTGGGGGGGTGAGCAGGAAGGTGCGACGGTGGTGGCGGTGGTTGTGGTGTACGAGGTTTCGGTTGGGACGCTTGCGACTTGCGCTTAGCGGGAACTGATGATGTTGGTGTTGAAGAGGGGCGAGGGGTACTCCGCTGGGATGCGGATGATGACTTTGGCATGGGGATGGGGTGAGGGTGTGGTTGTGATGTAGTGGATGAAGATTGGGTGACATTGAGAGATGCAAAAGCGTTCTGCGATGGAGAGGGGATAGGTTGCGCCGCAAAGGATGGGGCGATCGTCGGCGTGTGCGTGTTCGGGGCATGTGCCGCACTTTTGATCGTTTGGTTCTGGGATGGGTCTGCCGAGGGCGTCGTCAGCGCGTGCTGTACATGTCCACCGAGGCCGTCGTGGCCGCCGTATTGCTGCGGGAACGCTGGATGATTTGGCTGTTGTGAAGGGCGTGAATACTGATGGGATGGCTGTGCAGACCTTTGCTGCTGAGTGGGTGGAGGTGGAGCCAGTGAGGGCATGGGCGCTGGCGACTCCTTGAGAGCGCGCTCCCACTCTGCCAAGTCAAACTTGGGTACTGGCAGCTGGTAAGACTGTTGCTGCTGCTGCTGTGGTGGCGGTAGCCGCTGCTGTGGCTGCTGCTGCTGCATTGATTGTGATTGCTGCTGTTGTGGTGGCGGTAGCGGTGGCAGGAACTGCTGGAAGTCGAATGACTGTTGGTGCTGAGCTTGGGAGGGGAGGTATGCCTGCGGTGGCTGTGGAGAGACCTGCCCATGCTGCCCAGTTGCCTGTTGTGGCGGGATTAGCTGCTGCAGCTGTGGAGACGGCTGGAGTGGCATTTGTGGCGAAGTGAACTGCTGCTGAAGCTGCGGTGACCGCTGGTGCTGCATTTGCGGCGACGGACGCTGCTGCTGCTGGGGAGAGAGACGGTGTTGCACCTGTGGGGAGGGACGGTGCTGCACTTGGGGCGACTGCCGTTGCTGGAGTTGCGGAGATGGCCGCTGCTGCAGCTGCTGGAGCTGCGGCGACACACTGGCCTGTAGCTGAGGCGAAGGCCGCTGCCGCATCTGCGGGGACGGTCTTAACATCTGTGGCGATCGCTGTGGTATCGACGCTTTGCGCGGTAGCTGCGCCGAGACGCTCGACGGCGAGTGCGACCACTGCACCTGCGTGCTCTGGAAGCTGGCCTGGCTGGACCCCTGCGACTGCGACTGCGACTGCGACTGAGACCCAAACTGGGGGCTCGGGAGGCTCTGAAACATGGGCGCGTCGAACGACGTCTGGAGCGACAGCGGCTTGGAATACTGGGGTGGCGGGGGCTGCGAGCGAGAGATCTGTGCGGGGTGGCTCTGCGCCTTCGGCGGCGGCGCGGGTTGGGCGGGCGGTGCGATTGGAGCGGGCAGAAAGCTCGGCGTGTCCCGAGGTGGGTAGGACTGCGGAGCAGGGGGCGGGAAGCTCTGCGGGTATGCCTGCCACTGCTGGAACTGGCTTGCGCCGCCGGCGTTGCTTTGGTCATATGTCGCGCTCTGCGCTTGTGCGATCACATGCGCCTGAGGCTGCTGCGTCGTTCCGGCGAGCGGGAATGTGTTCTGGGCGTAGTTCTGCCCCGACGCGCTCGGCGCGCTGTGGAAGCCCGCGCTCGGACTGTGGAAGCTCGAGCTGTCGGCGTACGGGTACGGGGGCACGGAGAAGGCGAAGGGGTCGTCGTCGTGCTTGGGCTCGGGCCAAGCCCATCCGTTCTGGGACATTGTGGGCGGCGCTTCCGTCAGTCCCGCTTCCGTTGCGCTCACCCCGTCTGTGGTGGTCGTTGAGAGTGAGGAGGCGTCTCGGCGCACGACAACCTCCGTTGCTGTTTCCGTATGTTGGGTGGCGATACACGTGGGGTTACGTAACCTCTATCTCCGCACTGGCTTCGGGGGACCGAGTCGAATGTTCTTGGCCTGAAATATCGAGCCGGTTACTCGTCCTCATTATCTCTATCATTCACCATGTCCGCACGTACCGCCACCGTCGAGCGCAAGACGAGCGAAACCCAGATCACCTGCACCCTCACCTTGGATGCGGGGCCGGGATTCGCGCCGCAGAAGATCAATGTGTCGACCGGCATCGGGTTCTTGGATCACGTGAGTGGCGAGAGGCGGCGAGCGCGCGTGCGTCCGCGAGACACATAGAGAGAGTATGACCAGCTGGTGTAGGGAGCGGCGAGGCGGGAGAATGGCAAGGGAGTGGATTACGGAGGATACCGACGCCCATTACCGCATACTGACACCAGATGCTCACCGCCCTCGCCAAGCACGGCGGCATGTCGCTGGAGATTGCGTGCAAGGGCGACCTGTGGATCGACGACCACCACACGGCCGAGGACTGCGCGCTCGCACTCGGCGAGGCGTTCAAGAAGGCGCTGGGTGAGCGCAAGGGGATCAAGCGGTACGGGCACGCGTACGCGCCGCTTGACGAGGTGAGTGGGAGGAGGGGGCGGGGTGGGAATGGGGAGAGAGAAGGACTTAGGAGAGGGCATATGTCTGAACGATACTAACCACAGGCCCTTTCCCGCGCTGTCATTGACATCTCGTCGCGGCCATACTTCTGCGGCGACTTGCCGTTCACACGCGAGAAGATTGGAGATTGTAAGTTCAGGCCCGGTCTCCAATGCCGGCGCCGGCCACTCGCCTGCTCGCCCACCCACTCGCCGCTCACGCCAGTGTCTACCGAGATGATCTCGCACGTCTTCGAATCCTTCGCGCAGGCCGCCGGCGTGACGCTGCACGTCGACTGCATCCGCGGCGTGAACAACCACCACATCGCCGAGGCGTCGTTCAAGGCCCTCGCGCTTGCCATTCGCATGGCTATCACCCAGACGGGCACGGACGACGTGCCGAGCACCAAGGGCGTGCTGGCCGTCTAGCTACCGAGGAATTATGCATCGCAATAGAGCTAGTCTATGGTTGCGGGTTGACCGCACTTGCCACTTCTCCTTACTTGCGCCGGGGTGCGGCGCGGCGCGCGTGCGCGTGCTTCGCGCCGTCGAGGGACGCGATTTCCATCGCCTCGGCTTCAGTCAGCTCGCGGAACGGCGTGGCGTGCCGCTCCGAGAGCGGCTTGGGGGTCGTTGCGGGAGAGGGGACGGACGAGGACGCGCCCGACGTCAGCGTCGAGTCGGGCATCATCTCGGGCCCGTCACCCTCCGCTTCTCCACGCGAAGCGTAGTACCGTCCCGCCTGATGTCAGTGAGGAACGGCGAACGCGCACCTGGAGGAACATGACGCCGGTGAGCATGACGGCGGTGATAATGTTGTCGTTGGCGAGATCGCGCACCGCCGTGGCGAGCGGGCCGAACATCTCGTGCTCGGTCAGGTTGAGTGGGAGGGGTGAGGGTATCGCAAGGAGGGCTGGGTGAGCGAGCATTCGCGGTAGGTGACCTACTGGGGAACACTTCGGTGGCTTGGTTGTACGCGACGCTGACGATGAGGACTGGGGTTAGTCTGGAGATCGTACTGGTGTCAAGAGAGGTGGCTGCTCCGCGGGAAGCAGACACAGTAAGGCCTGCCGCGAGTCGGCTTCCTCCACCTCCCTCCCCCTTCTTCTTCTGGACTCCGTCTTCTTGTCGGCCCCCTTCTCAACTCCGTCTTCCCCTCTCACCGAGTCATCCGCGACCACCCGCCCATCGTCTCCAGAGAAAACTCACGCAAGCTCGCCCCGTCAAACAACACCTCGCCGCTCTGTCCCCGCCACCCAGTCACAAGCTTTGTGAGCGCGGCCAACGACGACGCCAGCCCGATGCCGAGGTACACCCATCCGAGGGCCGGCGCGCCGCTCCCCACAAGCGCATAGTAGCGGATGCTCTGCTCGAGCGCGGCGGGCGTTAGCGGGCTGCGCCAGAGCACGTTGTGGTCTGCGATCCAGTGCGTGAAGGTCGTGCCTGGGGTTAGCGGGCGGCGCGAGCGGAACGGGGGCACAAGGAGCCAGCGGCCAGACAGAGGGGTGTAGAGGGATGAAGACGGGGAAGAAGAGAGAGCTGGGAGGAGGAGGCAAGCTGCGGACGAAGGAGCGGCGGCGCCGGCACCAACGACTGAGGATGCCGCGACACTACGCTCGCCCCGCTTCGCCAGCTCCGGCAGACGCACCGAGCAGAAAGCATGTGGAAAAGGTTGTGATGGCGTTGCGCCACATGTTGGGTATGCGGCGGACCGAGGATCTAGAGCTGGATGGAAGAGGAGATGGAATGGGAGTTGGACGAGGCAGCGTCATTTCCGGAGTGGTGGCTCGCTCGGACAGGTCTTCGGCCTCCCCACTTCTCCAATCCAGGGCAGGGCACGGGGCACACCCACATGTCATCATCACCACTCCTCGCCGTTCTTTTGATGCCGCCGACTTCATGATCATGCTTGCATCGTGCTTTCCAATCCACTATCCTACGCTACATGACGCGCTCGCTCGCTGCGCTTTTTACCCCGCTCGCCGCATCACGCCTCGCCGTTAAGCTTCTGCGTGCCGAGCCACCCGTTCGCGGCCGAGATCACCGCCTTGAGACCCGACGCCGTGATGTCCGCGTCGACGCCGACACCCCAGAACCCGCCCTTGGTGCGGTCCTTGGGGTCCGCGTTGGGCGGGATCACCTCGATGTACGTCGCGGCCTTGACGTCCGAGCCAACACCGACGGCGTGCTCAGAGTACTCGCGCACGGAGAGGGCGATGCCCAGGTCCGAGTTGAGGGCGTCGAGGAAGGACGAGAGGGGACCGTTGCCGTCACCCGTGATCTTGCGGGTCTCGCCGTCAACGACGATCGTCGCGCTGATCTTGCGCGGCACGGACGGCAGGTCGTCGATGCTCTGGTCGAGCGAGGACACGCTCGAGGTCATGTCGAGGGCACCGCGAGCGGGCGAGTGGTCGCGCGAACCGCGTACTGACGACGAGCGCGATGCGCGCTGGTTTTCCATGCTGAAAGCCTTGAGGACCAGGCGGCCCTCGTGCCCAGTGCCGAAGCGGTACGCCTCGCGGAAGGACGAGGTGATGTCCTTGACGGACAGCTCGCGGCCAGTTTCCTCGCTCTTGGCCTGGATAACGCTGTAGAACGAAATCTGCATGCGGCGGGGCACGTCGAGACCCAGCGCCGTCTTGATGATGTAGGCGATGCCGCCCTTGCCCGACTGGGAGTTGACGCGAATGACCGCCTCGTAAGTGCACCCAACGTCGGCAGGGTCGATGGGAAGGTAGGGCACATCCCAGATAGGATTTCCCTCCTTCTCGCGCCTGGTCTGCGCCTCCAGACCCTTCTTGATGGCGTCCTGGTGCGAGCCCGAGAAGGCAGTGAACACCAGCTCGCCAGCGTACGGATGCCGGGGGTGTACTGGCAGGCCAGTGCACTCGGTAACTGTGTCGATGATCGAGAACATGTCAGAGAAGTCGAGGCCCGGGTGGTATCCCTGCGAGTACAGGTTGAGGCCGAGAGTCACCAGGTCAACGTTACCGGTACGCTCACCGTTGCCGAGGACTGTGCCCTCCACACGGTCGGCGCCGGCGAGAACACCGAGCTCGGCGGCCGCGACGGCACAGCCGCGGTCGTTGTGAGTGTGCAGCGAGATGATGCACTTCTCGCGCTGGGTAATGCTGTTGATGAACATCTCGACCTGATCGGCGAAGACATTAGGTGTCGCCACTTCCACCGTGGCTGGGAGGTTGAAGATGATGCGCTCCTCCTTACGGCCGTCGGCGAACACGGACCCCTTGCCGTCGAGCCACGCCTTCTTGACTGCCTCGCACACCTCCGCGGCGTACCACGTCTCGGTCTGCGAAAAGGTCTCGGGCGAATACTCGTAGCGGAAGTTTGTGCCGTGGCTCTTGGCGTACTGCTCGGCGAGCTTGCGCACGAGCGTCGTGTGCTCGGTAGCCAGCTGGATTGTCTCTTCGCGGTTGTTGTTGAAGACAACCTCGCGGAACACACACGACGTTGCGTTGTACATGTGGATAATCACGTTCTTGAGACCGCCCACGGCCTCGAAAGTGCGAGTGATGAGGTCGGCGCGCGCCGGGGTCAGGACCTGACGTCAGCCGTGCTAGTTCGCCTACGCACCTGGATCCACACATCGTCGGGGACGTCGTTGCCGTTGACGAGCTCGCGGCAGAACTGGAAGTCGGACTCGGACGCAGCGGGGTACGCAACTTCGATTTCCTTGAAGCCGATCTGGACGAGGTGGCGGAAGAACCTCATCTTCTGTCTGTTGGTCATGGCTGCGGGAGTCAGCAAGTGATGGGGGTGAAGTGAGACGAACGGTTCGCGAGCGACTGGTTGCCGTCGCGGAGATCAGTGGAGAGCCAGATTGGCGCCTTCTTGCACTTCTTGTCTGGCCAAGTGCGGTTGGGATAGGGCTCTGGCTGGAAGGGCGCATAGCGCTTGGAGGGGTCCTCGCTGGGCGTTAGTTGACAGCCATGGCGGGATGGTGGCGCGTGCCAGAAGATGGTTTGCAAGCTTCGGCGCCACCCGCTCGCTCGCTCGCCCGCTCGCTCACTCACAGCATCGGCATCTTGAGGATGGATTTACGGGAGGCAGGGAGGTGGAGAAAAAGGAGAGCAAGCTAGCGTGAGGTGTGTGTGGGTTGTTGTGCAGAGGTGTTGACGTCTGCTATGCTTGTCGGAGAGTGCAAGTGGGCGTGAGAGAGAGTGAGAAAGAGACGATGAGGAGCAAGAGGATGTTAATGAGGAGGGCGGGGTAAAGGGCAGCCCGGTCGAGTCGGATAGACTTGGAGTTGGAATAGGCGTAAATGACCCTTCCCTTGTCTCATTTCCTGTCCTCTGCCATCTTTCGGCTTCGGACCGGCCCTTCCCGCCCAGACTCGACTCTGCTAGCAATTTGACTCCGGCCCCCGCCCCCCGAAGTTTTCCCACGGTCGATCCTGACCCCAAGATTATCGAATATGGTGCGGAATCGACTCGAATCTAATCAAACTATTGGCCCACTTTCAAATCGGGCACGTGATCCTCCCACTCAACGGAAGAGTGCTAGGCACGTTGGGATTCTCAGCGCGCCTAGCAGGGACACTGTATATGTAGGCCTGCGCACATTCGTCCCTCATCGATCTCGCTTTCATGAACTCTCTTGTCAGTCTTCCTCTAATCATTCTAGTCAATCTTGAGCGCTCCTGCTAGGTGCTGTCGATAGCTAACCTCATCAAGCCCAGAACTCACAGACTGACAGCTTGGCCAGGCGTGCGCCAATCTGATTTAGCTGTTCTACTCATGTGCATCCCCCACAGGTCAGCAGACATCAACACGCTCGACGCAGGAGCTATATCCGGCTGAGGTACTCTTTTCCACCCTCTTCCCTGCGGCGACAACCAGTCCCGAGCACGCCTCCCTGCTGTACTCTTCCGAACAAAGCTCTTTCGAGGCCTCGAGCCCTCGCGCGCCTCACGCTCACCACCATGCCACCAGCCAGGAGGCGGAATCAGATATGACGTCACAAACCCGTAATGGTCCGCGCACGGCGCGACAACGCGTCGACGGGTCCTCGCCGTCGTTTCGTCCGCGTCCGGCGTCCACCTGGGCCAGCTAACTTGCTATAATACGAGACGGCCCACGTCGTAGTCCCCATACCCACCACATCACAATGGAATTCACAGCCTCCCCACTCCCGCCAGCGCCACACGCCGTCCCCTGCCTCGCGCAGATCACGTTGGGATCCGACGGTCCGCGCCACTCAGCACTCATGGCGCTGACCGTGGACGCGACCGCCACCGACCGCGCAGACATCGGTGTCGTCGCGCGCAAAGTATATTGGCGCGCGCGCGTCGGCGTCGATCTCCCATCGCGCTCTCTCATTATCACACCATCACGCTCAATCGAGCCATTGCTAGACGGTCCCCCGGCGCGCGAGCACCCCGAGCACAGCTCGGGCAAGACACACCTGTTCCACAATCACAACCACGTCAAACCCCAGCCCGAGCCCGAGCCCGTCACCACCTTCCCCGGCGTCGTGGACGGGCGTCCCCTCGCTGCCATCCGCGTGCCTCTTAGCGCGCTCGACTCAACGCACTGCGTAGTCAACACTGAGCCGCCGGCGTACATCCTCATTCCTGTAGCGACTGATGATCCCCACGACGCCGCTACGCTCCGGTTTGAGTTCGACTCGTGGCTCTGCGGCAAGGCCGACGTTGAGATCCTCGCGGGACAAATCCACCAGGCCCTTGAGGACCACGGGAAGCCAATTCCCGCGCCGGCCGCCACTGAGCACCGCACGCAAGAGGGCGTGCGTGAGGGCCGGGACAACGACGGCTCTACGCATCCGTCGGGCGACGCGCCGTACGACCCCGAATGGAAGAAGAGCTGGTGATGTAGATTAGAGATGTATAGATGGTGCCCAATGTACCCGTTGGGTCAGATTCGAGCGTTGTCATCATGACAGGCGGTCAGAGAGAATCCATGAAGCATATTCGTTCCACACCACACCACTACCAATCGTCCGTGTCCGAGTACTTGAGGAACTGGATCAGCCCATCCTCCGCTGCCTCACCTTTCCATCCAGCGTGATCAGCACGCGGTCCCCACTGGGGTCGGGGACGCGCTTCAGCTCCGAGCGGAACGTAATAGCGCTCATAATTCCGTCCCCGACTGCCGTCAGCCCTGTCTTCACGCACTCACATTTCTCATGGATAAGAGCCTTCCACGCCTCGCCATACACCATAACAGCCTCGGCGAAGCGGTACAGCACCGGATCGCGGGGCGGCCACTCCCACCCGCGCCCGCGCGTGATGCCGCCGCTCACGCCGACGTTGCCCGCCCCGCGGCCCGCCATGGCGCCGATCGCCGCTTCGTCGCTGCACCCGATGGCCGACGCGATGCGCGCCGCCGTCTCCGCGTCCGTTACGGCGTTCCCGAAGAAGAGCGCGGCGAGCCACACCTCGGGCTTGCCGACTTCTTCGGCGAGCTCCGCGAACGTCTTGCCGCTCGCGGTCTTGGCCGCGAGGAGCGTGTCGTAGTGAGAGGGGAGAGACATGTGTTCGATGAGTGAGTAGTGTGATCAGGAGAGCACAGGGGGGCTTATGTATCCTACGTGGGAACGGATGTCTGTGGTGCTGCGGAGCGCGTCAGACCACCAGTGGAGTCATGGCTCATCGAGTCATCGAGTCATGGTCTCATAGTCAGCTGCCAGCGCCATGTCATGCCCACTTGTTGTTGCTAAACTCACGGACGCGCACGTGTCATGATAAACTCATCAACATATCGATAGCGTCGATAAGCGATGACCCTACCGCTGTCATGTTTTGCCATGTTTTGCCCTGCCACTTCCATCTGGGAGGATCACGTGAGCAACCGTGTGTGGGAACGAGGGGGGTGACGTAAATTGGACGGCGTGCCTTGAGCGTGTATCTGGCGCCTCTCTGCGATCTGCGGGACGCGATCAACACGCGATTCAAGACGAGACAACACCAACTTCATCTGTTCTCTTCTTTTCTCATTCTATCTTTCTCTCCACATTCATCTCCTCCCTCTCCTTTTCCCCTCCTACTCCCCCACCCGCGGGGCATGCCAGACCCCCCGCCCTCTCGCCCCGGCCTCATCCACCGCCCCTCGGCCGTTGGGCTTAACCTCAACCTCAACCTCGCCAACTCGCCCTCAGAATCGCCCACCCCGAGACCCGACAGTGGCTACTTCGGTCTCCTGTCTTCCGCCCTCCGCTCCGACCCGCAAATGATCCCACGCCGCCGCAGAGGCTCCGAGTGAGTCCCCCCCATCTAAATCTACCCCGGATCCCGTGCCTGAAGTGACACAAGCTGACACCAGCTCCGTGTCCACGACGTCGTCGTCCTCGCCCCCCCGGCGCGGCGGGCATTCTGGCCCAGCTTTCCGAGTCACCCTCCAAACTCTCCAAGCCAAAACCCACTACATCATCTCCGTACCTCGCCTACTTTGGCCGCCGGATGCCCCCCACCCCACCCCGTTCCCACGGTAGCCGCGAAAGCACATCGCCCTCGCCCATGTTCGCCCCGGCGCCCCCGGCGCCCACCGTCTCCCACGTTCACGTGCAGGCGAGTGCCGAACCCGCCTCGCCCGCGTCGCCGTCCTCGCCTGCATCCCCCATATCGCCACTACACTCGAAAAACAAGAGACCTCCATCGCTGAACATGCGCCCCCCGGCGCCCACCATCTCTCAACCCGCCGTCGCCACCTCCTCTGTTACCCAGCGCGGTTTCGCACCCTCCCCCGCCACCGCGACGGCGTCGACATCGGGCGCGGCCGCCGCCCTCTCGATGCCCAGAAGCCAGAGCGCAAGCGACAGACTGAGCGGCATGTTAGCCGAGCGCCCACGCAGCAGCCGCAGCAGTGTCAGATCCGTCAAGTCGACTAAATCCGCAAAGGCCACCGAAGTTCCCACGCGCTCTTCTATCTGCACGGACGCTTCGCCTTCCATCATCTCGGCGAGCAGCACGCGCCGATCCAGTGCTTCGGACGCGTCTCCTGCGCCCCACGCGCCCCACGCGCACGGCCCTCCGCTTCCCGCGCCTCATCACGACCGTGCGCAAGCCACGAGCAAGCCGGACGTGGACAGAACCTCTCTCTCTCCCACTACGCCGAAGAAACGCATGTCGCCCGACGCCGCGTCCCCCCTCTCGGGCCCCTTGATGACCCACCGCGCCGCGTCCCCCGCAACGCACCGGGAGAGCAGCGACAAGCCGTGGCTGCCCACGGGTGTGACGGACAGTGCCGAGATCGAGGTGAGTCTCTCCCCTCCCTAGCTGACAACAGCTGAACGACGTGGACGCGTCCCCCGCCCCCGCCCCGGCCCCAGCCCCGGCCCGCGCCTCGGCTCCTGTGTCCAACTACGCGCCGCCGTACGCGCCCCGCCGCGCGTCCCTTCAACCGAGCGGCAAGGGCGAGCCACAGCGCTACGCGCTCACCTTCGCGGCGTCGCTCTCCTCTGGCGCCGACCTCCCGCTCAGCCGCCGACGCATCGAGCTCGAGCTGCTGTGGGATCTCGCGCCGGCGCCGAGCGCATGGGACTATCTCCCCGGCGCAAAGTATCTTCCTGCGTGGCGGCTGCGCGCCGCCGGGGCGCAGTCGGGCACGGCGAGAGACGAGGGATGGCTCCGCTGGGCCGCGGCGCACGTGCCCGTGGTCGGCGGCGTCGTGCGCGAGTGGTTGTAATATGCATGTATGTACTAGTGTTACCTAAGCAGCAAGCTGTTACATGGTAGAGCTTACTCGCCCCGGTAGCGGGCAGTTGAGACACAGCGAACGGCATGACTGATTGGCGAAGAGTTGCGGTGGCGGCTTGGGCCGGCGTGGCTGGCATGGCTGGCGTGGCTGGCGTGGCTGGCGTGGCTGGCGTGGTTGGCGTGGCCGGCGTGGTTAGGGCGAATGGCGTCGCCAGAGTGGTTGGCGTGGCCGGGGTGGCGCAGCGGGGGGCGCCAGTGCGCATGGTCCGCAGAGGTCTGGGAGGTCTGGGACATCGAGCGGGGGTAGAAGAGGGGCTCGTTGCGCTCGCGGCGCTCGCCCGTTGGGCGGTGGCACGCGCGCTTCGCCGGGGCGGGCTCGGTCTCGTGCTCGCGGCGGGGACGTTTGGGCGCTGGCGCGGGCGAGGGCGAGGGCGAGCGCCGCAAGAAGGCCGTCTGCAAAATCAGCGCGGCGCCGTGCCCGCGCACGAGGTACTCGCGCGCCCACTCGTCAAAGGTCTTGACGTCGCGGGCGGCCTCGGCGTCGAGGCGGAAGTATTCGAGCACGTCGTGGTATTCCCCGGTCTCGCCGACGCGGCGGAGGGCGCCCTTCTTGCGCTTGCGGGTGTCGGGGATGTCGCCGCCGCGCAGGAGGCGGTAGATCGACGGCTCGTGTCGATACGCTGGATATGCGTCAGCGCGTGAGGGAGAACTTACTCAGGAGCTGGCGGCAGACTTGCCGGCCCAGGCGGCGTGCGGCGGCTTTGCCGGCGCTGTCGTCGACGTCGTTCAGGCTGCCCCAGTCCTCGTCTACAAAGTCGTCGGAGTCGGGCAGGTCCGTGAGGTCGATGACCTCGATCGGGGCGCGAGGGGGCGCAGGGATTTCGACGGGGTCAGAGCTCAGGTATTGCTGAAAGAAATCGTCGGGCTCGCTCGGCTGATAGCTCGAGTATGAGAATGGCGAGCAGGACGAAATCGGGGACGCAGCGATCGTGCTCGCACTGCCTGGGTTTCGAGGAGTAGTCTCGGTTGCCGTCAGCGCTTCAGTGCACTCGGTAGTGGCGGTCGTCGTCGCCGCCGCCGCCGCCGCCGCCGCCGCCTGAGTTCTTTCGTCACCGGCCGTCGCTGGCGTCAGCGCACCCTCACGCCACTAACCGTTCTTCCCCAGCATAGCGAGGAACGCCATGCCGAGGAGATTGCCTATGGTGTTGTCGCGTGGCGCCTGCTGTAAGCTCTGAGCGAGGCGAGCTCACCTCATCCTTTTTGCGCTGGTCGCTCGCCGACTCGGCTACAACCTGCTCGGGGCGGGGCGCAGTCGGCGGCGGTGTGGCGAGGTGGCTCCCCGGGACGCGGTTGGGAGTTTGGCTGCATGGCACGTCGAAGAGGGGATCGAGCTCGAAATGGAGCTCGAGGTGCGCGCTGGGCGGCGAGTCGGGCGTCGCGGGGGCCGCGGTAGGGAATGAGGGGCGCCATCTGGGCGAGTGAAGGGGAGAGGGGGTACGCATTGGGATGTCTAGTAAGGATTCAAGGAGTGTAATTGCTGTCGGGGTGGCCATTCGAGGTCTGAAGCTAGAGTGAGGTTGAGTTAGTGGTGAATTGAGAGTCAGAAATGAGGAGAAGCAAAGAGTGTGAGAAGAGGGATGACCGATTCGCCCCATACGCCCCGTCTTTCCACGTCACTTGAGTACATGAGCCCGAGGGCGCTGTCATGGAGCGGACGTAGGTGCGTCACTTGTGTCTGCGCGGGGCCGCCGCACGCGGCGAACACGCTCCTCGCGGCCCGAGCGTCCGGCAACGATATGCATGCAGTGGTAATGATTATGCCTTGCTGGGTCCCTGCAGCGCCTGGAACTCGCGCTGCAGAGCCATGATCTGGTGTGAGCGAAGGCTTCCGTCGTCCCAGGCTCCTTCTCCGCCACTCACCTCCTCCTTCTTCTTCCCCGCGACGGCTTCCTGCTCCTTGATCTGCGCCTCGACACGCTTGCTGCCGTCAGTCCCGCCTCCCCAGCACCCACATCTCGCTCTTGATGAACTCGAGGCGCTTCTCGACGTTCGCCTTGGCCTCGGCGTGGTCCTGCTGCACGAGGCCCGGCCCGATGAGCTTGTACACGGTGTTGTGTGGTTTGAGGGCAGCGAACTCCTGTGTGTCAGTCGACGTGTATGTGACCACTGTAGATCCGCGGCACGCATACAGCAGCATAAACAGCTGGCTGAGCCGACCCACCTTTAACACCTGCTCGTTCTCCGACTGCTGCGCATCGAGCCGTTGCCTCGCCTCAATCACACCGGCCATCTCTGGGGTCAGCCTTCCTTCGCGCTGCGCCACACCACGCCGCGCCGCGCCGCGCCGCACGCACCCGCCTCAAGCTTCTGGAAGTCGCGCGACTGCGTCTGCAGTTTGGCCTGCACGGCCGCCATCTTTGTGTCGGCCATCGTACGGTGGTCTATGCGGATGCCGTGGAAGAGTTCGAGAGATGCATGATGTCGACAACAAATTGGTTCCGCGCCTCCACCGGCGGTGTCCACCTCATCTCCTCCACCTTCTCTACGTTCTGATTGTCTGTCACGATGCCCGGCGGAGAAGGTAAGCGCGCCGCGCCGATTTCGGCGTCGGCCTTCTCCTTCTCCCTTGCCAAGAAGCCGCGCGCCGCTGCGCCCGCTGCACCTGAGCCTGCGCCCGCACTAGCGCCTGCACCTCCGCCGCCACCCAAGCCGAAAGTCAAGCCGGAACCTCCACCCCCACCACCTTCCGGAACCACAGCCCGCAGCCCAGTACCGACCGCCCGCCCCATCTCGTCGCACCTCGTAACCCCGACGCGCCCGAAAGCCGCGGCGCTCGGCCTCCCCTCGCCGCCCGCCCTCTCGCCGAAGCCATCGCGCCGCCAGATCCCCCTCTCGGCACTTGACGCGTCGCCGTACCGTCCCGAAGCTCTGCCGCGGCGGGAGAGCGACGTCGGCGTCTCGCCGCGCAAACACAAGCCGTTGAAAGGCCAAGCGTACGCCGCCTTCATGCCGCGCTAACACCAGCGCGTCCACGCGCCTCGCGCACCTCGTGGCGGGGACACACACCTCCCTCGTCCTCTTCTACACGTCGTTGCAGCAGCAGCAATGTGTGCCGGGGCTGCGGGTGCGTGTGGTGCGTGTGCTCCATGGGCCGGGGGGTATGGCGCTGTGCACCGCCGGAGGCGGGGGCGGCGCAGGCGAGAGCATGCTCCTCGTCCTCCGGGCATTGCCGCCAGATTGTCCCCGCATCGGGCTAGATGCGCGGGCATTGAGCGAGGGGCACGAGGTCGGCGTCCTCGCCCCATGGAGCGAGAGCGTGATGCCCGATCCGGAGGGGGAGGGGGACGTGAGGGTGGTTTTCGCATCAAGGTATATTGTGTCTGTGGAGAGCTGAGTGTGTACAGTAGTCATGGGTTGTGATGGTAAGCGGTGTGAGTAATGGCATGCCCCGACGAGTGAGCTTAGTTTGCGCCATGTCGAAAGAGAGAGGCATATTGATACCAAGTGAGCCATGTCGAGTTCTGCCCCAGGTGTTTAGCTACTCTGCAGACCATGTCGTACTGTATATTACTTATCCAAGGGTGAGCTTCGCGCCTGCATACTGAAGTCCTAAGAAACAGCGGTGCCTCAACATGACGGGGTTACGTGAAAGACGTCTCGAAGCTCAAGCGAAGGCTGGTCTGTTCTGGCGCCTCCAGACAACGAACAACCTTGTGGTGTAAAGGTACTGCAACGTTGTCTGATCTGAGCGGCGCGACATGCATTCACTGGATCCTACAGTACATCCTACAAAGCTTACACCTGCGGCAGTGTCCGCCGCCAAGTCTTCTCACCTGCACACCGCCATCCTCCAGCTGCCAGCCTTCAGCGCGTCTCCTGCAGCGCCACATATCTCAGCCACGCACTTGAGCAGATCATCCAGCGCCGGGGTGTCTAACTTGGCTGCATGTCTAAAGGGGCGATGCAGTCGGAGCCTCGTTTCTCCGCCCAGTCTTGGCCTCGACCCACCTCATCCCTCATCTTCGGCTCACAACAGCCCCAGTTTGCGACGCGAAACCAAACACCCATCTTGATCGAGTGAATGACGCACCTTGAGCTCCCCCCCTCCCCACCTCCCCACCTCCCCAACCCAAATCCTAATCGAATTGTGTAATTGTGTAATTGCATAATTGTATAATATACAACCGACAGATTCGCAAACTTTGACTCTCTGTGATCGGCAGGAAAGTTTGTCGCAGGGATCGGCGTGTCTCAGTCGAGAGGATCCAGCCGCTCGTTTCCCCAATGTGCCAGCGTGCCAGGAAAGGAAACGAGATGAATGTCGCGGCTCGTCTCGCGCGTCGGCGTAGCGCGGCGTGGCGCGGCGCGGTGAAGCCACGCCCGAGTCCTACACATACGCACTCACGCGCTCGGGCAACGAGCCAACGAGAAGGAGACGAGACGCAACGGAGGAGGGCCGAGGACCTTGGCACACCGCCTGATATGACACCAATCCCTGAGATGGCCCCCCCTGGGGAGTGATGGGCAGGGGCACTGCCCGAGCGCTCCAGTCCCCCAGAACGACTTTCCCTGAGGGCGGGTGGTGCCTGGGCTCATCGGGCCTCTGTGGGTGCAGTGGCTGCGGCAGGCTCTGGGGTGGCAAGGTGTGTGCCTGATTGTCCCTGATTCTCTCTCTTCCCCTCCATCGTGGACTGCGTGTCATGCAAGCATCACCGCTTTGCTGTTCCCTGGATCTCCCCTGAGGCATCTGCCACCCTGTGGTGTATTTTGCGCCCCTCTGCGCTCCCGCCTGGTGCCAGCGTCCTGCAAGCCACCTGCCCTCTGGCCGTCGCCGCTGGTCGCTCTCTCTCTCGAATGGAGCATCTCCATCGCCATCCATCCACTCGTCCTCGACATCTCCTCACTCACACTCCCCATCTCCACCTCCTCCTCCCACACCCCCTCCCCCCCTCCACGCCAGCCTCCACAACAGGCTCGCTACCTGCTCTCTTCTCTCCCTCCGCCCGGCGGCTCCCGACGTTTGTGACGTGCCTCCTGGCCCCTTCACTTGACCCGCCCTCGGCCCCTGCACCGCCAGGCAAAACACTCGCCGTGGGCTCCCATCCACTTTCGCCCTCCTTGTCTTCTTCCACCCCACTCGTCATTCTTCACAGGTCGAACAGCGTGCATTCGTCCCCCACAGCTCTTCATCGACGATAGGTGCGTCATTCTCCTTTCTACGTTGGTGGGGATCGGGCGGTTGCGACGCAGGCAGGCAGCAACGCATCAGTGTGTGTGCAAATGGCGAGGGGCGGATGGCTTTGACGTGGGCCCGAGACGCGGGGGGCACGCTGCGATCTCATGCTGTGAGCTATGAGATTCATTCGTCGTCCTCGTCGTCCTCGTCGTCCACAACCTGCAGCGGTGTGAGCAGTGCAACCAATTCCTCGAGCGGTATTCTGCAGCGCATCGCTTGACCTAAAGATAGGCAACGCAGCCATTAGCCGTCTCAGCCGTCTCACTTGGCATACGGCCTATTCACTAGAGATCGCGAGACCAACGTCGTCTCAATCCTACAATCCACATCGCTGCGATCTTCGCAGGCGCCTGCCCTCCTCCCGCTCCGTCGTCGTTGCTCATCGCGATCTCTTGTGCCCCTCTTTTCCTACGCTTCTCTCCTACCTCTCACCTCCCTTCCATTGCAAACCACTCGCTAACTCCCTCTCCAGCTCAACGGCTCTAGCTCGAACGCACCCCCTACGTTCTCCTTCAGAGAACTCGACCTACGCTCTTTACGACCACCCCTCTCCTCACTCCGACACGGACCATGCAACTTTAGAAGACTTCTTTAGCACATCCTCACTCAATCACATCCCGCACAAGCAGAATAACACGACGACGACGATTACCGCAGCGTTACACATCCACTCGACATGTCGCGCCCACCAATGAACACAAACGTTTCGTTTGACAAGGGAAGCGCACCACCCCCGCCTCCCAAGGGTGGCAGCTCGTCAAAGCACTATGAGAATCCAGTCCCCACCCTCGGTTACGAGGAAGCTGGCTACGGCTCTGGATCCTACACCCAGGGCGGCGCCGACGTCCGGAGAAAGAAATCCATGGTTCGCCCCGAGCGCGAGCGCATCGAGCCCGGCCACCGCTTGTATCACTACCAGCAGCACGCCGCAGACCAGAGCGTCCGCGTGCACCCCAGTGGTGAGCATTCTTTTCGTCGTTTAACCCCCCTCTTCCTTCCTCCCTCCTCTCCCTCCTTCCTCCTACTGACTCTTTTCCAGCTACCGGCAACCAGCCCTATGCTCCGCACAGAGGAGGCGCCTCCGGCCTCCGTCGCGGCAAGTCGGTGCTGGGACGCGAAGGTGACCAGGAAGCGAACGAGTCCGGCCTCAACCTTTTCAAGCGCGGTGCGACCATCCGCCGCAAGGCATCGCGCGCCGCTCCACGGCCCAAGCACGGAGGCACTTCGGCACCACCCCCTCCGCCGGAGAAGCCGCGTGGGTGCTGTGCAAACATTGCCCCCGGTCCCGTCGACTGCTGGATGATCTACTGCTTCGTCATTACGTGCTGGATCCCGCCCTTCATCCTCTCCGGTGTCTTCGGTAAGAAGACGCCAGAGGCGCAGCGCGCTTTCCGCGAGAAGATGGGCATTGTTGCGATCTGTGCTGGTCTTATGGCCATAGTCGGTTTCATTACCTTCGGTTTCACCCAGGTTGTGTGTGGAAACCACGGCATGCGCGTCAAAGGTGGACAGGTCAACAACGGCTCCGTCGTGCTCAATGGTTACGTCTACGATCTTGCCGACTGGAAGCACCCTGCCACTGCCGATGGCGTTTTCAACGGTTCCACCAACCCAATCTGGTTGGACGAGTGGCAAGCTGGCGGTAAGGACATGAGCTTCCTGTTCCAGAACGTGAACAAGAAGTGCCGCGGGCTTCTTACTCCCGGTAGCCAGGCGCCCAGCGCTATGCGCGGCCCTGGCAACACCATGTCGTGGTACTTCCCCTGCAACCTCTTCAGCCAGAACTCGACTCAGACCGTGGTCAAGGATGGCTATCTGGAGGGCACTAACTGCCACTTGGATGCGACTGCCCGTAGCGACCTCGCCAACATGCCGCCCGATGGCATTGTGTACTACACCTGGGACCAGGTTGCCAACCCGGACCGCAACCTCGCAGTGTACAAGGGGTGAGCGTTTCTTCCCGTGTTTATTCTTAGTGGCATTTACTAACCATGTAGCTCCGTTCTCGACCTCTCTCTGCTCAACTGGCTCGACTCTAACCTGGTCCAGTACCCCTCCCTCTTCAACACGCTCAAGACTGGCAATGAGACGTTCAAGGGCCGCGACGTGACGTCCGTGTTTGTCCGTGCGAGCTGGGAGAACTACGGAGATTGCCTTACCGACATTATCCGCGTCGGTTTCGTCGACAGCATGACCATTGGCTGTGTGGCGTCTCAGATCGTCCTCTACGTGTCGCTCGTGTTCATCCTCGGCGCCGTGTTGATCAAGTTCTTCATGGCGCTCTACTTTGGATGGTTCATGAGCTGGCGCATCGGCAACTTTGAGGGCGAGAGCTACAAGGACCGCATGAAGCGCGCCGAGGAAATCGAGAACTGGACCGACGACATTTACCGTGCCGCGCCTGGGTACATGCGTCCCAATGCTCGCGAAGCCCGTGCTGCAAAGAAGGGCGGCCATTTCCTGCCGAAGCAGTCGCGTTTCAGCAAGGCCGACACGATGATGGTCAGCAACTCGCGCCCGAACACGGGCTACGGGAGCCCCTTTGACACGCCCCGCCGTCAGCCTTCCAGCTTCTACGGCAACAGGCTCACACCCCCGGGCTCGCCCATGCTGCACGGCTCGCGTTCTTCGACCTCGTTGCCGTTCCGCGCTGATGCTTCGCGCGCCTCGCTCCACGACTGCCCCTTCCCTCTCGAGAACGTCATCCCGCAGCCCGCTCCCGACTTTGAGCCTTTCGGCTACCCGCTCGTCCACACCATCTGCCTCGTCACGGCCTACTCGGAGTCGATCGAGGGTCTGCGCACGACCATGGATTCTCTTGCCACAACCGACTACCCCAACAGCCACAAGTTCATTCTTGTGGTCTGTGACGGCATGGTCCGTGGTTCTGGTTCCAAACAGTACACTCCCGACATTGTGCTCAGCATGATGAAGGACCTCGTTGTTCCCGAGCACGAGGTCGAGGCTCACTCGTACGTCGCCATCGCCGACGGCCACAAGCGTCACAACATGGCCAAGGTCTTCGCCGGCTTCTACGCCTACGACAACGACACGGTCGAGCCATCCAAGCAGCAGCGCGTTCCCGTTGTTCTTGTCGCTAAGACGGGTAATCCTCTCGAGCGCAACGACGCCAAGCCCGGTAACCGTGGCAAGCGTGACTCGCAAATTGTGCTCATGGACTTCCTCCAGAAGGTCATGTTCGATGAGCGCATGACGACCTTCCAGTACGAGTTCTTCAACGCCATCTGGCGCTGCACCGGTGTCTCGCCCGACAAGTACGAGACGGTGCTGTGCGTCGACGCAGACACCAAGGTGTACCCGGACTCGGTTTCGCGTATGAACGCGTGCATGGTCAACGACACTGAGATCATGGGCCTTTGCGGCGAGACCAAGATTGCCAACAAGCGCGAGACTTGGGTGACCATGATCCAGGTCTTCGAGTACTACATCTCGCACCACCTCACCAAGGCCTTCGAGTCCGTGTTCGGTGGTGTCACCTGTCTCCCCGGTTGTTTCTCCATGTACCGCATCAAGGCGCCCAAGGGTGCGACCGGCTACTGGGTGCCGATCCTCAACAACCCGGACATTGTCGAGCACTACTCGGAGAACATTGTTGACACGCTCCACAAGAAGAACCTGCTTCTTCTCGGCGAGGACCGTTACCTCTCGACGCTCATGCTCAAGACGTTCCCCAAGCGCAAGATGGTCTGGTGCCCGCAGGCTGTGTGCAAGACGATCGTGCCCGACACGTTCAAGGTTCTGCTCTCGCAGCGCCGTCGCTGGATCAACTCGACCATCCACAACTTGTTCGAGCTCATGCTGGTCCGCGACCTGTGTGGCACGTTCTGCTTCTCGATGCAGTTCGTCGTCTTCATGGACCTCGTCGGTACCCTTGTTCTTCCCGCCGCCATCACGTTCACGCTCTATGTCGCTGCACTTGCCATTCGCTCGGCAATCCAGCCGGACAAGCAGGACACTCCCACTGTGTCGCTCATTCTTCTCGCCTTCATCCTTGGTCTCCCCGGTCTCCTCATCGTCATCACATCCCGCAAGATGGTCTACGTCGGCTGGATGTGCATGTACCTGATCTCGCTCCCGATTTGGAACTTTGTCCTCCCCGCCTATTCGTTCTGGCACATGGACGACTTCTCCTGGGGCGAGACTCGTAAGGTCCAGGGCGAGAGCAAGGCGGAAACGGGACACGGCGACAAGGAGGGCGAGTTCGACTCCAAGGACATTGTCATGAAGCGCTGGGCCGAGTTCGAGCGTGAGCGCCGCTGGCGCGAGGGCACTGTCTCGCGTGACTCGGAGTACGGCGCTGGGATGCGTTCCAACTCGCCAGGGAACAGCCGGATGAACCACCGCCACTCGATGGTGTCGACATCTGAGACGTACCAGTCGGGCCTGAACACGGCCGAGTCGCAGGGCATGCTGCGCCCCGACCCGCAGGGCTACCTGCACGGAGGGCAGTACGTGGCCAGCCCGATCGCGGGAGAAGACCGCGACATGGCTGCTCTTGGCCTGCCAAGGCATGGCGAGCCATCTATCGTCTCCTCCGAGTCGGGTTACTCGGCTGGCCGGCCCAGCCGCAGCCCAGTGGACAACCGCAGCGCGTCCTACGGTGTCGGCTACTCGGAGGAGGAGCAGCCGATGCTCGCGGGCGGCATGTCGCCCGAGCAGTACCGTGGCGGGCCCTCGGCATACGAAGAGCGGGACACGTACCGGTCTCCGCGCGGGCAGCCTGCGCCGCAGCGCGGCGTCTCGCTCGTGGACCCTGGCGTTGCACCGGTTGGCGCTGCGGACCCCGTGCGCCGTGTCGCACGGCAGCACAAGCGCCAGTCCTCGGGCCGTGGTGGCGTCACCAGCCCCGTGTCATCGTCATCCCACCAATCTAGCCTACCCCCCGGAGCTGTGAGTTGTGTCTTGGAGTAATCACTGACCACCAGGCGCCAGCCCGGTTCTAGAACGACCTCCCAACGACACTCACGGACTCGGGCTCAGCCCCTCTCCCTCACGGACATTTCGGCGCCGGCTGTTGACTGCCCCGTAGTTTCATAAGACTGATGAGATATTCACGCTAGATTGTGGGTTCGGGTCGATGGCGCTACTGATCTCTCTACTTACAACACCCACCCGCTGATGATCGGGGCCACTCACCGACGCCGCCTAATGATCTCAGGCAGGTCGGTGATATACCCCTTCGCGCAATGCCGCACGCGCTCAGCATCCTGCGGCCGCGCGCCCACCGCGGCGGTAATCGCCTCCCATCCCGCCAACCGATTATTCGTGACGGCACGAATGTGTGCCTCCGGTCCGGGCACCCGCCCATTCCAATGCCCCAACATGAGCGCTGGCATCAGCGCGTCCGCGCACAACACACCGAGGATGTTCCCGCGCACCTCGGCGCTGAGGACCTTTGAGCCGGTCCCGACGCGCGCGCACTCGCGCATGGCGTCGTCGTCGTCCTCATCGCTCTCCTCCTCGTCCTCCTCGTCCTCCTCTTCCTCTTCGCGGCCCCGATATTCGCGGCCCCGCTCTGCGCGGTACCCGCGCCACCGATGCGCGCGCTGTCTTCGCGCGTCCGCACAACCCTCGCACGCACACGCCGCTCCCCCGCCTTCGCCCCCGACCTCGCCCCCACTCTCGCCGCCGCCGCCGCCGCTCTCGCCACGCGGCACACCGACGTCGGCGATGTCGCGCAGCTCGGACGCCGACCGCTCAGACCGCTCGCGCTTCACGCGCTTCACGGGGCGCGCGGGGCGCGCGGGCCCGGGGCGGACGGGCACGGGGTCGCCGTGCTTGTCGACCCAGACGATGTCGTCATCGTACGCGACGGGTGCGCGCGTGTGCGCGTGCGCGTGAGCGTCCGGCGGGGGTGCGGGGACGGTTGCGCGCGTGGCTGTGTGCGGGTGCGGGTGCGCACGGCGCTTGCGCCAGCATTTGCCTGCTGTCAGCTGCCGCCTCCTGAAACTCCAGAGCCGTCGCCGCACGCAGGAGCTCAGAGCCGTCGCCGCACGCACCAGCATACTTCTTGCGGTGCGCGTCCCAGGCCGCGTGCGCATCGAAGCGGCGCCGGCAGTCGGCGCAGATGAAGGACACGGGGCCCGCGAACAGGCTCGGGATTGTGCTGTGGAGGAGGGGCGAGGGCGGGTCCGCGTCGCTGTGGAGTACGGGCGAGGGCGGGTCGGTGTCGCTGTGCAGCACCGGCGAGGGCGGGTCGGCGGTGTCGTCGTCGCTCATGCTGGAGAACCAGAGGTGATGAGAGCAATTAGAGAGTGATGATGATAGGCGTGGGACTTCATGTGACTCGAGGGTGTGCGGTGCGAGCGGGGCGCAGTGAGCAGCACGCAGAATGACGCCGACGTCTCGCCCGTACATGTGCCATGCATGGGTATGCTCAATGCTAAATAATAATCTACAGGATATAGTGTGCACCCGGCGCTCTTTGCCTCGTTCCCTCGGGCTCTACTGCAGGAACTTTTGCAGGCTGTGCTTGGTCCCTGCGTCCGCTTTCTCCCAGTACGGGCCAAGCCCGACGTTCTGAGCCCGCGTGAGAACATCCACCACGAAGCCGCGCAGCGGTACGGCATACGCTGGGTCAGCGTCCTCCAGCGCCTTGCGGCGCGCTCCTTCCGGCGTGTGCTGGATGTCGCCCCACGCCATCGAGTTGTCCGCGCTCCAGTGGTTGACGGTAGTTCTGCTGTCAGCTGAGCGTGGATGCATGTACGCTACGCACTCTGGCCCGTTGCCCTCGGCCGGCTGCAACTCGCCGAGCACGTCGAGGAACATGTTCACTGATGTCAGCTCTGTCTGATGATATCTGCCTGCCACACGACAGCCACACGACTCACTGAATTCGCCGTCGAGACGCTCAAGCGCCTCTGTGTGTCCCGTGGTCAGCAGCGCTCCGCAGCCCATCGCCACAGCCTTGCGTGCGCGGCTCTCGCCGACGTAGTCAAAGTTGCGCCACATGGCGTCGAAGATCTCCTCAAGTTGCTTGTGCGCATCACGGCCATTGCGCCGCGCCTGCTCCTGCGCGAGCTGGAAAAACAGCGCTTGGTCACGGATCGCGATGCGCGCGAGGATACCCAAGTACGCCGCGAGGATGATGCCAGCAGCCTTGTCGTCCTCCAGTGCCGTCAGGATGCGGTTGTACAACCCAGAGTCAAGAAGGGCAGGTGCGAGGGTCTGGAGCGGGGCGGCGTGCACTAGCGTCTGCAGCGTTGCGAGGCAGCCGAGAACATTAGCCTGCGTGCGGCCCGACGTGTCGATCGCCTTGAGCAGCGACTGGCAGATGCCCAGCCCAAACTGCTCCACCACCCCTGATGCGTCGAGCAGAATGTACGAGTCGAGAAGCGGGAGAAGCTTGAGCAGCAGGTCCATGTTCTCACCCAGGACCGCGACGAGGCCGGGCACCAAAGAAATCAAACCTGTCTGCGGGGTCGGCTGATACGGCGATGCCGCGTTCCACAAAGCCGTCTGCCACAGTATAATGCCATCCTCCTCGAAGAAGTCTTTGGCCGGCGGCTGCAAGCTCTCCTGAATGAGTGGAATGACAAGCTCCATCAGATTGCCAGACGACTCCTTGGCAGCCGCGACAATCTTCGTCGTGAGGACGACGAGCGAAGCCTTGAACAGCCACTCGCCCTCGAGACCGCTTGCGCCCTGCCAGAGCGTAGGAATGGACTGGGCGATGGTAGGAAGGTAGGGAAGAATCTTGTCCTCCACGCGCTCGATGATGACACCCAGCGAGTCGTTGACGTAGCGTTTTCCCTCCAGCGTTGCGGCCTCGCCCAAAAGCTTGATGAGCTCCTGCACCGACTTCTCGATGTAGGGGATAAAGTACGCCACTTCGAGCTCCCACAACTGCCGTTAGCCACAGCATAGGCCCCAATCATACGTCAACACACTCCTTGACGGAGATTGCGGCGGTGAGGTTGACGGCCATGTCGGATGCCTCACCCCGCTCCGAGAGGAGGTGGAGAAGGATCTCCCAAACGAGAGGTAGTTTGGCGCACTCCTCGTCCGAGCCGACCCACTGGCCAATGAGCCAGGCCACACGACGCTTGAGAATGCGGTGACTGTCGTTAGCAGAGCGTCACATAAACAGGCAAGCAAGACTCACAGAGGCTGTCCTTGCCCGAGCCACGAGCCGATGCCGTGAAGGAAAGCGTTGAAGTCGATTCCCCGGCCGGCATGGCCCTGACTGTACGTCGCAAGAGATCGACTCAGGCGGCCCATGGCGCAGTAAACGGCCTCCTTGCGCAGAATGTTGGGCAGGTCCGAGGGAGGGAGGGCTGACGAGTTAGAGTCCATAGTGTTAAGCCACTCACCCTCAGTTTCGCCCAGAATCTTGATCATCTCGGCGTCGATGACCTTGCGCTCTGGGGGGAAGTGACGGCACGCATTGTTGAGGGCGATGAGCACGCGCTCAGCACATGGCCTGAACTCGAAAGCCCACGCTTCCTCGTCATTGTTCTCCGCCACAAGCCACTCTTCGGGCTCGTCTTCGAGAGCCTCGAGGTCCGTAGAAGTGAGTGGCAGGAGCTTGTCCACCAACAAGTGGAGCGCGGTGAGAATGAAGTCGGGGGTGAAGACTGTGTGAGCTGGCGCGGTCACGATGCACTCACTGTCCTGGTGGTCGTGTGCGAGAATGGGGAGGATGTCCTTGAACAGGAGCATGCCAAGAAGAAGGAAGCGTTTGGGGTACGGGTTGGTATCAGAGTCTAGGGTCAGCGACGCCCTAGGAGACCCCAACTCACCATCATTGGAGACGGCGCCATCACTCCCGGCCATCACACCACCAACGGCGCTCCACCACCACCCGACTCCGGCGGTTGCGCCCTCGAGCTGACACCAACTCTTCGCATCGGTGCCGATCATCCAGCGCCACCACTTTCCGATCGCACGAAGGTGCTTCGCTAGCGACTTCATGAGCTTGTTGAACTCAGGGGGGGCAGGCGAGGGAACTTGAGCGCAGAGACGCAAGCGGTGTTCCTGGATCATGGGCGCAAACTCGACCGAGTGTCTGAGGAGCAGACGGATCTGGTGTAAGTCTAGCTCACAGCGGTTGGGAGCCCACATGCTCGAGGCCAGTCGCGGACTGCAAATTCTTGGCCTTGCCCCAGTGCCACTGACAAAAACGTGCGAGCGTTCTGGTGTCAGCTCAGTGTAACAGTCATGACTCACTTGAACGCATACCGACCAGCCTCGTGGACAACCCAGTCGCAGGATCCAGCGCGCTCGCGGGCGCTCCAAATCTCCAGCACCTTGCCCAGGGGACCGACGAACACCTGCTCAAGCGACTGGACGACAAGCGCCCCCGTCTGAATCTTGACGCTACGCCACTCCTTGACAAGCGCATTGATCGTCCACATCGTGTTAAGGAGTACGGTGGCTGTCGCCGCGTCCAGCGAGCTCTCGCCGGCGGCCTCGAGGGCGGCAACGCATTGAGAGAGAGGCTGAAGGAGACGGTCGGGAAGTTCGGTGAAAGTGCGCGGAAGCTCTATGCGAGCGATGCTGACCAGCAACCCCAACTGGGGGCGTGCGATCTGCTGTCAGTCTCGTCCGGCTAAATTCGGTCGTGCGACATACAGCGAAATCGGGCTCCTCCAAGAAGGACAGGAGGCGTGCGCGCACTTCGCCCTTGCGAGCGTCGGGAACAAGCTTGGAGCGCCACTTTGTCTTGAGCTCGCGGCCTGTTATAACGCTCGCCAGCTGGCGCTCCTGCTGCGAGAGCGAGTGGTCCGCCGCGAAGCCCTGGAGGACGATGAAGAATTCCGGCTGCTTGAAGAGGTCAGTCAGCTGCTGCTGATTGCGGACATATTCCGCGTTGCTGCCCGGGTTGACGAGCGAGTGGACAAGCGCGCGCAGCTCTGGGTGCTGGGCGGCCATGGTCATGATGGGAAGATGGGAGGATGCGAGATGAACGTGAGCTTTAGCATGGGCCCCCTCTTGCCGCATCTCGTCTCACATGGCCTTCCTTGCGCCACCGTCGCGTCCTCACGGGGTTAATCACTCAAAAATCATAATGCCACATCACTTGGCGGTGCCTGACCTCCATTCCATCCACAAAGTTGACTTCCGCGCGTCCACCACGGCCTCCACTGTCCTCCACAAGCTCACCATCATCCTCAAGACGAGCCGGCAGAGCTGCACAGCACCATGGCGACCATGTTTCACTCGCGCGAAGCCATCCAGGAGGGAGACATCGTCATCGTCTTCATGGTGAGCTTGCGGACAGGCCTCAACCAACCTGCTAACCGCAGTCTCGCGACAATATGACCGCTATCACTGTGACCAAGGGACAGACATTCCACAACAAGTTTGGCAAGTATGCCCACGACGAGATGATTGGGATCAAGTTCGGCTCAAAAGTGAGTCGCTTTCAAGCAGAACTGACGCCAGATGCACTCGCCCCCACCCCAGAGCGGTTACATTCACCTGCTGAGGCCCACGCCGGAGCTGTGGACGCTGTCGCTGCCTCACCGCACACAGATCCTGTATATGACGGACATTGCCTATATCACCATGCGGCTCGGTGTGCGCGTCAGCGGCAAGGTCATTGAGGCGGGGACCGGAAGTGGAAGCATGACTCACTCGCTGTCCCGCTCCGTCGGAGAGCGAGGGAAGGTGCACTCGTTCGAGTACCACAAGGCGCGCTTTGTCAAGGCGGGGTGGGTCTACAACATCTGAATGGAGAGCTAACAGCAGCGAGGAGTTTGAAGAACACGGGCTGAAGAACATCGAGCTGCAGCACCGCAATGTGTGCAAGGACGGGTTTGGCGACGTGCGAGACGTGGAAGCCAGTGAGCTGAGAGACATACCGTCCGTTAGCTGACACCAGTCTTCCTCGACCTGCCCGCCCCTTGGGAAGCGATCCCACATACGCCTGAAGTGTTGAATGTACGTCGCTGTTGCTGCTTTTCTAACTGCAGCCGAACGTGATTACGCGCATCTGCTGCTTTAGCCCATGTCTGGAACAGGTTCTCAAGACGGTAACAGCGCTGAGGGAGGAGGGCTTCTCAGGTTGGCTTCGAGGTGGTGAAGGTGCTAACTTCAGACATCTCCACCCAGGAGGTCCTCACCCGCACGTACGACCTTATGATGCCCCCACCACCTGGGTCGCACCACCTTAAGAGCGTGTCCTCTATTACGCAGCGGTTGCGAACCCATGAGAAGCGCAAGGAAGAGCGCCGCGTGATCCAGATGCGCAACGCCCGCGAAAAGGTCCGCCTCGCTAAGGAGGCCGCCGAAGCAGAAGAGGTGGCGGCAGCAGGGGCAGCCGAGGGCATGGAGGTGGACGCAGCAGAGACAAGTGAGAAGCGCAAGCAACCTGATTCCGAGGACACCGAGAAGGAGGCGAAGAAGGCGCGTGCAGAGGGTGCCGAAGGAGCTGCCGAGGAGGCACCGCAAGACGACCTTGAAGGGCTGTACGACGAGCCTCCCGTCGCGTGGTCGTCGATGGTGCTCACCAAGCCTTCACCAGAAATGCGTGGACACACATCGTACCTGACCTTTGCGACATTTTATCCAGCATCGATACGGGCGCAGATCAGCGCTCAGGTGCAGGATGGGACGACGGCATTGCCCACACGTGCGGCGACTCCGGCGGCAGTCGCCGAGTAATTAAGCAGAGGAACGTATTGTCCTGTAGTATGACGCGGTTCCGCTGCAAGGCCGGCGAATTGGCGCAAGCGGAAGTGTGGCAGAGCGGGTCGTAACCAAGGTCGCTTGGTAGCAGCCGGGCCGGTGGAAGATTGTGGAGCCAGGCCAAGCAATAACGGCAGTACTGCAGGGAGTGCTGTCGTCATGTGCGACTTTGCTCGTGTTTGCTGGGAGCGATCCAGGTGATACATGCAATGCAGATGAGGTAGATGAGAGATGGAGGTACAGGATAATCGTTTATTACTGTTTATTACTGATTTGCTGATTTGGAGCATGTGATGTGGAAACAAACGACCTCGGCCGAATAGACCCGCAGTTGAAGCGGTAGAAGGCGCCAGGAAGGAGGGAGCAGTTTGGGCATCAAAGTTATCTGATAACGCCCACCCACCGCCGTTTTCACCGTTTTACTCCCGCCCAACTCGCTCTCTCCTTGCTACATCTCCCGCTCCACATCGCGTGCAGCCCATCACCACTTGCACTCACAACTCTGGGGTCGCGTCCCCTGCGTCCCCCCTCCCATCTTCCCCCCCACTCTTGTCCTCCCCGTCTCGCCTTGCTGTCCCCCCCGACAATGTCAAGTTCGGGGCAGGGCTCGCCTAACATTCCAACCGCGAGCTCGTCCCGACCCATCCTTCCCGGCCAGATGCCACAACGCAAGGACAGCTACCCGGTGCACACGCCGAGCGCGCTGTCGCACGTCTCCTCCCCCGGTGCCGGCACCAGCGGGGCGACGAAGCGGCCGTTAGCGCCCGCACCAGGAGGAGATGCGCGCCCAGAACGGAAACCCACGGACCGGCCACAGAGCATCACCGACCCGATCTCGGGAAAGAAGAAGCGAGTCAGCCTCAGCTGTGCCCAGTGTACGTCTCCCATCTCCCAGCTATGCATCACCATAGCGCGCCCGCTGACGCCCAGGTGCGAAGAGGAAGCAGAAGGTTGGTTGGGCCGCGGACAGAAACCTAGGGTCTTGGCAGACGCAACCAGCAGCCCACTTGTCATGAGCGCTCACCTTTCAGTGTAATCGCGAGTACCCATGTCAACACTGTGAGTCATCATCCCAACACCGTGCACCACTAACGCTCCAGGTGTCGGTGAGTAGAATTTCTTGTGCAGCCCGCCCACCCCACCCCCCACCTTGACCGCTCGCCCTCCTCATTAGCCAAACAAGGCGGCAGAGTCCAAAAGGGTCGGGGGGTTCGGGCCGCACCGCCAAATCCAGTCGAGAGCGCGCTGACCCCCTCTCGTAGCACGCAAAGTCCCTGAATTATGCGTACGTCCCCGCCCACGATGGCCATCACTGCCATACGAGCGAGCAACATCGCCGTCGCAACACATGCATGCATGCGTGCTGACCCCAGGTTCCATACACACCTGTGCCGAGCAGCTCTGCGCACCAACTCGACCAAGCCACGACCGAGCGCCTCGAGCGTATGGAGAATGTTCTCTCCGTGCTCGTGCGCCACAACCCCGGCGTCGGCGGGTATGAAGCCGTCCGGGATTGGCTCAACTGTACGTCATGAACTCACTGCCGGGGGCTGGCTAGACTAAGCGCTGACCGCAGCGTCTGCATTCCAGCGCTTCGTGAATTCGACACCGAGTACGCCCGCCAGCCCGCTGGTGCCGCAGAAGCTCGCGCAGGCGCCGCCCCTGCGCATCCGCACGGTGATGGGGCCAAACGACCCACAGCCGATCCCGCCAGAAGACATCGAGACGATGGAGCGCGGCGGCTCGGCCGAGGACGAGGCCCGGGTCGGCAAGGGGTGGCTGGGCGAACTGGAAGGGTGAGTAACCGGGACCGGGGTGCTAGTGGCAGTGTGGCGTGCCTGCCGATGATGTTGACGCTGACATGCAGCGGCGTGCCCGAGGGGATGCGTATCGACGAGAACATCACGATGCGGATGGACGTGCATGGCACGCCTGCTGAGAATCTACAGCAGCTGATCCGCGACTGCGGCGTCAGCCCACATAAGGTCAGTGTTGATCGTGGCGAAAGAACAATTCAATGTGAGACATGCTGACCTCAGGTCCAGGAGCTCATCCAGGAGCTGCCCCCGAAGCCATTTGCGGACAGGGTGATCGACTGGTATTTCCAGCACTTGAATCTTGTGCGGTACCCTATTGACGAGCGCCTCTTTCGGACATGTGCGTTGGCGTGACTTGAGCAGTGCTGACGGCAGCATACGAGGACTTGTATTCCAAGCAGCGAAGTGTGGACCCTGCCAACTTGCGCGCCCTCCCCCTCGTCTTCATCGTGCTGGCCATGGCTGTGCGCCTCGCGCCAGACCACTGGGCAGGCGATGACCAGACGCGCAAAATATCCAGCCTGCGGATGTACTGGAGCTGTGAGTGATTCTCCTGGGCTCTGACTGACGCCAGCGCGGCGCAGCATCCTGATCGCGACGGCGCTCGAGTCCGAGTCAATCGAGCTGGTCCTCACGCGCCTCCTGAGCGCCATTTACCTCGTGCAGATCCACGACCGCCGCCTGACCGAGTGCTGGTCGCAGCTCGGCGCGTCCCTCCGCACTGCTCAAGCGATCGGGCTGCACCGCGACGGCTCCAAGCTCGGCCTCGACCCCTTCCAGACAGAGTACCGCCGCAGACTTTGGAGCTACCTGTACCACGCGGACCGGCTGTACTCGCTCATCCTGGGGCGGCCGCCGAGCATCGGCGACGCGTACGCGGACACGCTGCCGCCGTCGAATGTCGAGCTGTCCGAGTTCAAGCTCGCGGGGCCGAACAACCCGCCCGGCCCGGCACCACAGGCTCGTCCGCTCTCTGAGCCGACGACCGCCACCTTCCTAATCCTTCGCCGCAACCTTAGCGGCATCATCGGACGCATCGTGCACCACTTCCAGAAACTCAACGAGCCGGCGCAGTACGCCGATGTCCAGCGCCTCCAGGACGAGCTGGAACATTTCACCAACACGCTTCCACCCCATTTCCGGATGCGCGAGCCCGACAAGAGCCTCGACAAGCGTAAGCTTTTGCTTTTTCGAGGAGTTTTTTTTTCTGACGCAAACAGAGTACTACTGGCTGCCCGTGCACCGATTTATGCTGCTCACCGAGGTGCTAGTGACGACGATTATTTTGCATGTGAGTCGGGCGTCGCGGTGGCTTGGCTGTGGCAGTGGAGCCGAATGTGGCAGCTAGGCACCGGGCAACAAGTAAATGTGGTCGCCGCTAACGCCAGCGCCCCTGGCTTCTGCGCCGTCTCTCGAGCAACCGCTACGCGGCGAGCCGCACAGCGTGCTTCGAGAGCGCGAAGCTCGACTTCCAAATCCGCCAGGACTTCCAGCGCGAAGTGCCCGACTTCAAGCTGTTCGCGATCACGGGCCAGTTCAAGATGTTCAACAGCGCGATGATCGCGGGCATCTCGGCGATCATTGACCCGCGCGGCCCGGACGCGGACCAGATGCGCCGCATCCTCACCACCTTCCTCGAGCAGCACCCCTGGTCCGAGGTGGCGGGGCTGGACGAGACGACGCGCAAAGAAGTGCAGATCATCCACACGCTGAGCCGCCGCGCGGCGCAGATCTTCGAAGACACGATGGCGCCCGGCGAGCTCAACGCGCAAGACAAGGACTCGGTCTCGCTCCTGCTCGCGCTGCGGCAGGGCGAGCTCATGGAACCGGGGTTCGGCACGCCCGTGCCGACGCCGAGCGCGACGCCGGGGCCCGGCCCCGCGGGTGCGGGCGCGGGGCGGCGCCCGCCACCGCCCACGCCGTGGGCGCGCTTCGCGGCCAACATCCAGTCGCCCGCGTCGAGCGGGCACGAGGAGGACCACTCGCAGCGCCTCCTCGACCAGTGGTTGAGCGCGAACGCGAGCCTCGCGGGCGGCGGCATCGGCGGGCCCGCACTTGCCGTCGAGCCCCCGTCGTCAGGCGTCGGATACCTTATGGCCGGGCTCGGGGGGATGGCGCCCGTGCCCGCCAGCTTTGGGCCGGGGCCCGGCACGCCGGGGAGCTTTAGCGCAAGCCAGACGCCCGTGCAGCTCGGCGGGTTCGTGTGGCCGCAGCATGGAGACGATGCGCTTAATGCGCCTAGCGTTGACAGCTCGTTTGCGTTCCCCGTACCTGCGACCGGGTTGGACGGGACTGTGCTGGGCGTCGGGGGGGAGGCGGGCGTCGAGAACAGCGACGAGTATTGGAACACGCTCATTGACGGCATTCTCGGTACGACAGGGGCAAACAGCAACATGGCGGCGGCGAGTGGAGGGAATAACTCGTAGATATTAGAGCGGAGTGCGATGAGGACGAGCAATCAGGTCAACAGGGAGTCGAAGTATCCTCATGTATCTTGCACATGCACCCTACTCTTCAGTGCTGCTGTGAGAAGCGTGTGAAACAGTGCATAAACAGATCAACGTGTATGGTATCCGGGTCATAATGCAATCGTACAGTTCGTGCTAATGTAGGTTGATACAGGTAACGGCCAGTGGTGGAGGCGATGCGATGAAATGCAAGAGAGAATTGTGTCGTTGTGTGGCGCGTGTATCACAACTGCTGAGGGGAAACAGTGCCGTCCGTATTGTCCGAGCGGGTGCGCTGAGTCGGCGTCGCATCGAGCGACAACGGTTCCATTGCGGGGATGATCTTGCGGCTTACAGGCGTCATCTGCGATGCTGTGATGCCTACGGGCGGGGTTGCCGCAAGCTCAGGGGACTCGGCGAGAATCAAGGGCGAGTCTGCCAGGTCTGGGGAATCTGCCATGACGGGAGAATCCGCCATGGTCGGAGAGTCGGCGAGCATGACCGGCGAGTCGTTCTCGACAGGCGAGGCGGCCATGATTGGTGAATCGGCAAGCATGACTGGTGAATCGTGCTCGACCGGCGATGCGGCCATGATCGGAGAGTCAGCCAGCATCACCGGCGAGTCATGCTCGACCGGAGACGACGCCATGAGTACTGGCGACTCGGCGACGAGGTTGGGCGAGTCGTGCACGTCGACAGGCGACGACGCAAGCTCCTCGGGCTTGTCGGCGAAATCACGAGGCGCGGGGTTGGGCATCGTCTTGGCTGGACCGGGTTTGCCGCCACCACCACGAGCCAGATCAGTCTTGAGTGGACGCAGGCGCGCCCATCCACCAGCCTTCTGCTTATCGTGGGCCGGTGGCTCGGGCGTGTCATCACGCTCAGGTGAAGAGACGATCGCGGCACCCTCGTCCTCTGACATTTCCGATGGCGTCTGCACGCCTGTCAAAGCATCTGGGAGGGTGTACGAGTCCATCGAGCCCGAGGTTAGGGACACGTTCCCGTCGCTGGGCGACAAGCCCGTCTGCCCCTCGTGCATGACGGACATTTGTCGCATGCCGACAGCACGCCGCATTTTGTGAACGGCGCGCACGACGGTGAACACCGATCTCAGCGAGATGAGCGCGTTGTCCACCTCCTCCTCCGTCGGCTCCTCAAACACGTTGCCGTAATAGAAGAGGTTATCCTCCACGCTCAGGATGGGCTGCATGCCCCACGCGTTGACCCACGAGTTTTCCTGCGGTCAGCAGTCTTCTCACGTCCAGGACTTACGCGAATCTCAGTCATGGTGAACCGCTGCTCCGGGTCCTTGCGTAGCATACCGCGAATGAGGTTCTGCAAGTCGCGGTGCCACTCATTAGGAATCTCCGGCCTCGCGCGTCAGTAACACTCAGCCACACCACACGGTCCGGACTCACTCCTTTTCACGGACCATCCACATGAGCTCGATGGGGTTGGCGACATTGAACGGCAGCTTGCCCCGCAGCATGCAATATAGGGTAACGCCAAGTGCCCAGATATCGACAGACTTGCCGTGGACTTCGCCGATAGAAGCTGACGTCAGTGGCTGCCAAAACACGCGTTTACCGCGCCGCAAGGTACTCACCAGTAAAGCTCTCGGGGCTGAGGAAGGCGGGACTCCCGCCTGCAGCCTTGATCGTGTCGTCTCCCTGGAACATCTCAGACACGCCAAAGTCGGCCAGCTTGACCATGTCGCGCTCGGCGGTGAAAAGGATGTTCTCGGGCTTGATGTCGCGATGGGCGATACCGTTGGCATGCAGATACTCGAGGCCCAAGCAGATCTGGCGGAAATACTCGCGCGCTTCCTCTTCTGTAAATGGAGGCTTCTCGTTCGTTGGCTCGAAGCCAGGCTCGACCTTCATGAGGACGCCCCCAGGAAGGTACTCGAGAACGAGGAAGAGTCCGTCGGCATTCGGCACCGAGATCGCCTCGTAGAGTTTGGTCAGCTGCTATTAGCGTTGCCAGGTGACGGTGCAGCAACATACATTCGGGTGGCTGGCTGTTAGCGGCATGTTACACTAATCAAAAGGGAACTCACTCTAACTTCTTCATCACGGCTACCTCACGCCGGATCAAGGCAAGAGGGTCCTTCTCAAGCATCTCATCGGAGACGAGCGCAGCCGTGTGTGCAGATTGTGGGGGCTCGGTAGCGGCAGGACCCCTGGGGCCGGGGCGGAGGACGGGGCGGCGGTTGCGACGTTCGCGCGCCATTTGAGCCTGACGCTCCATCAACGCCTGCTTCTGGAGGCGCGCTTTAGAGAACTCCTTGATCGCCTGTGCGTCAGATCTCGCCCCTGCGCCCGCCCGAGAAAGCACCCCAAGCGCCTAGGACTCACATATTCCTTTCCGTCTCCGACGTCTATGCCGAGGACGACGGATGCGTAGGCGCCCGACCCGAGACTGTTACCGATCTTGTACTGGTTGATGACGCGGGCCCCGTCGTCGTCCTCGTGCTGAAGGCCGAGGGTGGTTTCGCGCACGACGTGGGCGCTACTCTGCCGCTTGTGCTGGCGCATGATCCTGTCACGCAATCTGGAAGGTCCCGGCGACGAGGGGGAAGGGGTGCGCTGTGCCGAGAAGAGATGCGGGGACGAGTCGGGGAGACCAACGGGCACAAAGCTGGGGGGCGACTGTAGGAGAGCACTATCGTCGCGTTCCTTCTCCTTGCCCTGTGGTGCCATGCTCTCGGAGCGTGGAACCGGCGTGGACGCGACGCGATGCGGCACGGGGTGAGGCGGGAGCGCGGGTCGAGCATCATCCTTTGACAGCGAGACGCGAGGAGACGCGTCTCTGTCCGAGTTCTCATCTGGCGACTCGTACTGCACGGCTTCCTCTGGCATGGGCTGGAGGGTATGAGGGGGTGCGCTGGGATTCACGTTGCGTGGGCCGGAACTGGCGGGCGACGCAGACACTGGTGTGGGCGGGACTATGACGGTCTCGGGGAGAGGAAGGTCGGCGGTCTGGAGACTGTCGCCACGAGTAGTTGCGCGTGAGGAGGCTGTCGGAGTTGCGATGGTGGGGAGGGTATTGCGAGGTTTGGTTGGCAACCGAGGTGGGCCTTGGTCGGTCATTGTGAGTGATGTCGGGCGGAGGAGGGGAGATGAGTCGATGCCCGATACGACGATGAAAGAGATGGTGAGATGAGAGACGGCGATGAGATGAGATGAGATGAGATGAAATGAAATGAGACGAGAAGAGTTGGAGAAGAGGAGGTGAATTGGAGGAGGAGGGGAGGGAAGGTTGTGGATGACTGGATTCGATCTCACTGTGCCGAGGAACGTCACTCTCCTCAACTGCAGCACTTTCGTCTCCCATCTCCGTTTCCGACTCGCAGCGCCCTCGTCGCTTTCTCTACCGATACTCTGCAAATCAGATTGGCTGGATGTTACTGCGGAAGTCTGTTCTCTGTCTGTACGACTCCTACGTCTCCCGCACCTCTTGAACATGCATTCACCCACATGGCTGCAGGCTATGAACAGCACACGCAAGAGCCAAAAAGTGCACGGTTGTAAGGTTGCCGCCCTGCTAGCTCGCATTCACCCCGCACCCGGTGCAGCGCTCATGCACTGCAGAGCAGCCGAGCAGAGCTCAGGGCTCGTCGAGTTTAGCGTTTGCGTGCAGGCTTCACGGCTCCAACATGAAGATGCTCGGCGGCTCGGCGGCTCGGCAGCTCGGCGTGGCGGTTCGCAAAGGCTCACGGGGAGGAGTGACGAGTGGAGAGCCATGCCGTATCGCGGTCGCGCGGTCGGGAATCTGCGCAGTCGGGATCTCTGGATCCCGGTCGCCAACGTCAACGGCCGACGAGCAGCAGGGTTCCTATCAGCTCGTTAAGCCTGTACACGAGGCTGCCCACGCGCGCTCACACGAGCAGATCACGCGCACGCGGTCAACGGCGGCCGCGACGTACGTACATGTGTCTCAATTCAGTTGCTGACGGCGACCACCCGATTCTGTCTGATAACTCTCCTGTGGTACTCGTGCAATCCTGCAATCCTGCAATCCTGCAATCCTGCAATCCTGCAATCCGGCTCGGATGTGCCTGCCAAGTTCAGTGATCTGCGCACGGCAACGTCTGAAGGGAGGGCGAAAGGATGGATGAAGGGTTGAAGGGGTACAAGCAACATGTCGGCCGTCGGGTGGCGCTGCCGTCCTGCATACTGCTCGTCTTGTGCATGCTCCACGCTCGGGGGTGGCACGCTGCATTGCAGGAGCGCAGGATTACAGAATCTTGGAGGATCTCGCAGGATCGCAGGACCTTGCAGGATCTCGCAGGTTGCAAGGATGGACAGGTACGCCGTGCAGGGGTTTCAGATCTCCGTCTGACCTCCTGCTGCACGGATGCAAAGTTGTCGGAGTCGGGCCGCTCCCATCTGTCAGTGGCCACTATCTCCGCGGGATACTCATATGTCTTGGCTGCTGGCTCCTTGCTTGCATTGGCTGCCTCCTGCTATACCATGTGAACTCCGCGTGGGGAGCAGACGCCGAAAGACAGATGTGCTCGATGCTCTTGTTCCTAGTAGGTCGCCTTTACTTGGTCACCTGCACGGAATACGGTGCCCTTGCTACAGGATCGCGAAGTGCGGCATCTCCAACATCTTGAATCACTGTCTTGGCTGGCGTCTTGCTCAAGTCCTTGGCTAGCTGCAAATGCAGGGCAGGGTCGACGATACAGAAACATTCGGGCTGCCCATGTGCTGCCCTCGAGATGACGGTGCCGGATTCTACAGCTGCCCAAGCAGGCAAACACTAGGTGCCAAGGAATTGATGGGGTCGCCGCGATCGCCTTGCTCGCTGCCGCGTCAATTCTCGTCGCGTTGATCGCCGTCTGGATTGTCATCCTCCTCGTTGGCCGTCATGCATGACTCTCCCTCCCGAGCAGCTCGTGTGAGCGTGCGGAAGCGCGTCGAACTGATGTATCTCTCGTGTGACCAGCTGCCGCTCCATCGCCGTAGTGATCGCGGTTGAAGGAGACATGGTCAATTGTCGATGCTGACTGGGAAGGTCGAGGGAAGGTTGTTGGGCCTGGACGGACTGCTCGTGGGTGAACGGCTCGTCTCTCGCGGCTGTGGCAGCAATAATAGACTCGGGACCGGACAGGAAAGCTCACCATCCAGAACCATGACAACCAACGGGTTGTGAGAGGTACTGTAGACGTCGCCGCGCGCTCACCTCAGAGGTTTCCAGCTATGCTGAGGACGATCGCTCTCGTACTCGGCGGGGAGGTCAGTGGACTCGAATGAGAGAATCAGTGGATGAATGAGCATTGATCAGTGTGGGTTGTAATCACACCCACGAACCTGCTCAGTAATCGACAGCGGGAAGGAGAGCGCCGACGAAGGACGGCGCGAGACGCCCAAGAAGAGCGACGGATAACTCGTGAAGAGCAAGCAGGAAAGAGGAACGAGGAGACATTGAGAAACAGAACGGGTGATGAAGGAGTACTAGAATAGATGGCCACCGCCCGCCCATGGAGGGAAGGTGTGGTGTGGCAAGCCAGCGAGGTTGATGCGACTTTCCTCCATCTCCATGGTGGAGTCGTGAAGCCCTCCTCATCGATCCTCTACGTTCTACCATCCTCTGATCCTCCGATAGCACCCCGAAATGACTCTCTGCGATCTACAAATGGCCTGCTACGCTCAGCGCTTATGTCGACGACCTGAAAAGTGCCATACTCAAGGCCTCAACGTTGGTGACAATGGCAGGTCATCCTTCACCCCAAGTTATCACCTGCCCCACTCTCCCACCCTCAATGTCTTGGCACTGCGCCGACCATACCAACCCTCCTCATCCCCTCAGCGCTGCATCGACATCTCACCATGGCGTACGCGCGCCTGCCGACCACGGACCGCGAGCATGCGTACCCGCCATCCTCTCCGCTCGCGCCCAGCGCCTGGCGCTGGAGCCGCCCTGGGCGGTTGCTCCTCGCGCTCCTCGCGGCCGCTATGCTGGTGCATTACGCCATGCTGCTGATCTCGTCGGCGTCTCAACCCTCGCCGCGCCGGGACTGGGTCCTCCCCGCGTCTCCGTCCGCGCCCGCGCCCCCGGAATCGCACGGCGCGCCCTATCGGGACGCGACGCCGGTGGCGAGCGCGCAAGCCTTCCTCGCGCTGGCGGAGGCGGAGATCTCCGCCCTGGGCCTCGACACATGCGGCGACGAGATTGGGCGGGCAATGGTCCGCGCCGCGGCCGCGCGGCGCATGGTATACTGCGCGGCGGACAACTCTTCTTCGTCTGAAGAGGTGGCGGCCGGCGATCCCGGCGCAGCAGAACGCCTCGCGGCGGCGGCCGTCCGCACCGCCCATATAGAGTGTATGCCTATGCGCGGCATCGGGCCGCCGCGGGCGGAGGGCGTGGATCCCACGCTCGGCGCCACGCCGCCGTGGTGGCCCATCACGTCGACGGTGTGCGTGAGCCGCAACTTGCGGCCGGTGGCGCGCATCAACCAGCGCAACTTCCTCGCGCGGTGCGGGGTGACGCCGCTCGGCGAGCGCCTGCGCCTCGCCGCGGCCGAGACGTTTGTCGGGCGCGCCATCGTCGCCGAGGACGGCGAGCGCTGCGCCCGCGTCCTCCCGCACACGGTTATGTTCGTGCAGCGCATGGACCAGTGGAATCCGTACGTCGTGCGCCGGCGCCGCTCATCCCAGCTTCCATGTCGCCGAGGACCTGATCACCACCTTCCTCTCAATGCTTGTGGCCGGCGAGGCCGTGCCCGAGCTCCGGCACCATCGGATTCAGATGGCGTTCCTCGATAATTTCGGGCTAGATAGTAACCGCTTCGACGGGGTGTGGGAGCGCGTCGGCGCGCTCCCCCCTCGCCGGACGCGGCACGAGCCGTTCGACGATGGCGTGTGTCGTGAGTGTCTGCACGACTGAGCTGACCCAGTCAACGCCGCCATTCATGGTATGTATGGCCGCACGTCGCTCCTCTCGGCGAGCGGGACGACGAAGACGTATGCGTGCGCGTCCGCCGTGACGTGGGCCGCAGCGCTCTACTACCGGCACCTCTTTGGGCTCTCACCTCCAACCACCACGCCCCGCCCGAACATCAATATCTTATACGTGTCGCGCGCCCGCTTGCGTCGTCACTTCAACGACGACGTGGGCGCATGGCAGGAATACCGCGAACTGAGCAACGAGAGCGAAATGCTCGTGCGCTGGCGTGCCGGCCTGCACGAGATGTGCGGCGACACGTGTGAGTTTGTCGACGCCAACGTCCACCCCGAAGTATGGGCGCAAAACCGGACGGAAGGGAAGAGGCAGATCCGCTTCGCGACCATTGACCCCGTCGGATACTCGCTCGAAACGCAGATTCAGCTCGCGGGCCATGCCACCCTCCTCGTGGGCCAGCATGGTGGCGCGCTCGGCCTATCCCTCTTCATGCCGCCTGGCCGCGGTGCCGTGCTTGAGTTCACCGTCCCTATGGTCAAGGGCAACCAGCACTTCCAGCACATGGCTGTGCAGCTGGGGCACATGCATCAGCAGCGCGTCATTCACTCAAAGATCGACGTTGAGCGTGCATGGTCAGATCTTCGAGAGGTGGTGGAGGATATCTTGCTTAGTGAGGCGCCCAAACCAGTGCAACAAGACGAGTAGTTACCATGGACACCCGAGAGACAGGATGGGATCTGTTGTAAACTATATTACATACATTTTTATGGCACAGCCTGCAATATCTAGTCAAATGGAATCGGCTTGATGCCCTGTGTGAACACGGGCGGCTTCGCGCCGTGCGCCTGCGCTTCGGCAAATGCACTTGGCACGGGGATGCCACAGCAGTCCATGGCCCAGCCCTTATCCTCGTGAATGTGCCCGTGAGCGTCAGGCTGCGCCAACGGCTGCTCCTCCAGCGCAGCCTTAAGCTCGGGGTCGTCGTCAGGCGACGGGAACGGGATGAGGCTTCCGAAAAGCGCGTGCTGCATGACAGGCAGCTTGCCCAGCACCTCGGCGGCATACATCTTGCGCATACCCGAGTTGACCTTGTCCCACGTCTTGACGGCGCTGATGTCGTCGAGCATGGGCGAATGCCACCGCAAGCTCGCCGTCTTTATCGAGTTGATAAAGGCGATGCACGAGAGATACATATACTCGCTGGCGAACGCGTCGAGAATCTCGGGGTCGTGGATCGCCTTTGGACGCAGGTGTTTGTGCGCTGCTGTTAGCGGACTCGCTGGAAGAAGCTCACTCTTCAGCTGCCCCGCACCCCACAAGAACGGCAGGAACTGGTAGTCGTCCAAGCCCCACACGCCGTGCGAGCCCGCCGGCTCGAGCCAGTACGTAGACTGGAGGTAGCGCATGACGAGGATGTACCTGGGGTAAGCTGTGGGCTGAGGCGGGCCTGCTTTGGGCCACACCTGCTCACCGCCAGAAAATGCCGAGCACAAGGTACGTGTAGTCCTCCTCGTGGAACACGCCCAGCTTTGTGAGAGACAGTCTGGGGTCAGCGCGCCCGACGCACGCCACTCACAGCCAGCAGAGGAAGTTGAGCTCGTGCCCTGATCCATAGTCGACACGCTCTCTATTCCCCCAGCTGTGCTGGAAATACGTTTGGACCTCCGGTATCGCCTCTGCCGGCAAGCCTGGGATGCTGGCGTGCATCGCGTCGCTCGCGGCCGCGACGCGGTCGTAGAACGTCTTGAACGCGGGATTCCCGAACCGGCTGAGCTTGTTGTCGACGGGCGGCGTCGCCTTGGCAATGTCGAGCACCTGCTCCAGAATGTCCATCACGGCCTGCGTGCGCTTCCGTCAGCCCGGCCACTCCAATGCCCACCTCGTTCCCCTCGCCGGCTTCGGACAGCTTGCGCCCAACGATGGCGGCGTTCAGGCCGTCGATGAAACCCATGATCGCGGCGTGCGCGGGCGAGCACGCAAACGCCTCCAAGTGCGCTTTGCTGAGGATGTGCTTGGTCGGGACGACGAAGCCTGTGCTCTCGTTCTGTTCTGTGTCTGTCATGGTGGATGTGGAGACGATGAACAATCACGTCGGGAAGAGTCTGGTGGAGGGAAGGTGCTGGACCAGACCGGTCCCCAGGCACGCGTGCCGATCACGTGGCGCCGATCGCCCTCACCTCCGCCTCGACAAGACGGCGTCCACCAACCTCCGCTTCATGCGCTTCCTCATCCTCTGGCTTTGCGCACTCACCATGGCCTCCTGCCAATACATCGACTCCGTAGTCCTCTTTGTGAGTGAGCCGCGTCCGCGCTGACGCCAGGGCGACAGCATCACGCAGGCGTGGAGCGACGGCTCCCTCGCCCAACGCATGAGCGAGTACTACCTGCGGCGGCTGGACGTGGTGAACCGCGGCTTCGGGGGTGGGTGATGCCGATTCCTCGCTGAGACAGGCTACAACACGGACAACGCGCTGTCGGCGTTCGAGAGCGTGTGGGCGACGCGGGCGGAGCGCGAAGCCGGGTGCGCGCAGCCCGCGCGCCTCATCACCATCTGGTTCGGGGCGAACGACGCCGTCGTCGAAGGCGGGTGGCAGCACGTGCCACTCGACCGCTTCCGCGCCAACCTCGAGACGCTGGTCGAGCGCGTCCGCTCGCCCCACTCCAAATGGTACTCGCCGCAGACGCGCGTCGTGCTCGTGTCGTGCCCGCCCGTTGTGACGGCCGACCGGCATGCGGCGCAGATGGCCAAGTGGCGCGAGTTTGGGAGCAAGGGTGCCGCGCCGTGGCCGGATCGCGATCCGGCGACGACGAAGAAGTACGCTATGGCCACCGTCGAGCTCGGCAAGACGCTGGGCGTGCCCGTGCTCGATGTGTACCACGGTATTTGTGAGGCGGCGGGGAGCGAGAAGCAGGAGGATCTCGCCCGGTTCTTGTACGACGGACTGCATCTGAACTCGGAGGGGTATGCGGTCGTGTTTGAGGGCCTCAAGCGCTTGATTCTGCGCGAGTGGCCGGAGATGGACCCCGAGTCGCTTCCCATGCCCATGCCATAGTGAGTCCCCCGCAGGCGGCGCTGACCAGCAGCTGGGCGGACATTGACAAAGCCGACCCCGAGGCCTCGTTCAAGACGGCCCTTGCGGAGGCCAGGGCGTACGAGGGCAAAGTGGGCAAGGACGAGCGCAAGAGGGAGGAGCTGTAGCATCGTGACATACGTGGGCGAGTTGGAGATCATTCAGAGACGGAGTATATATAACTCTACACGCTTGACTCGCTCGCTTATCGCTGCGCCTAGATCTCCCGACTCTCATCGACATTGACAATAAAGTTGGCGAACCAGCGGACCTGCTCGACAAACATGTTTGCCTCGATGTACTCGTCGACAGTGTGCGCGTTGTTGAACGTGCCCTCGAAGACGAGGTACGCAAAGCGGTAGATGTTACGCGTGAGGTTCCACTGTTGTCAACTCCTTCCCAAGTTACACGCACGTATCGCTTCGTGTCTGTGTTTCCCGTAGTCAAATACGGGGCCATATGCACGTCCGCGCTGCCCCGCTTCTGGCCGCGCGACGCGTACACGCTCTTCGTCGTGCCGGCGAGGATGCGCCAAGCAGGCGCATCCACAGTGTACGGCGACACGGGTCCGGGGTCGAGCGTAGAATTCCACGCTGGCGCGAGGGAGAGCTTGCCCGCCGTCTTGTCCGCGAGCGCGACGTCGCCAAACGCGTCAAAGTCGAGCGCGTACTCCTTCGCTACAGGCCGCAGCACGCGCGCAAGCCGCGCCTGCAGCTCCGCGACGGAGGATGAGAGCGCAATCCGGTGGTTGATGTACGCGGTGACGACTTCGGGGAGAGCGTTAACCTTGGCCCCGCCACGGATGATGTCGGCGGCCTGCGTCGTTGTGATCATAGCGGTGCCGGCGTACTCGGCCCACCAGCCCTCGAGCTTCTTAAGGGCCTTCTTGTCGACGCGGTCGCGCGCCAGCGCGTCCGTCACGCGCTTGATTGTGCGCGTCACGTCGGGGGGCAGCGCGGCGTACTTCGCCGCGCAGCCGATGAAGGAGAGCAGCGGGTTCTGCGGATCGAGGTGCGGCGTATGCGGGTGCCGCTCGAGCTCGGCGATCGCGAGGGCCGCGTACCCGATCCCCGTGTGGGGCGGGGGCACGGACGAGTGCCCCCCCGGCGTCTCGACGCGGAGCTCGACGTCGAGATATCCCTTCTCCGCCACGGCGGGGAGCGCGAACATCTGTCCGCGGACCTCGGCCATCCCGCCGCCTTCGTCGACGATCAGAGCCATCGAGTCCTTCCCATACTTCGCCTCAAGCCACTGGCCGATATGGTACGCGCCCTGTTATCAGCTGTGCCGGGCGCGCACGCACGACCTTGCCCTGGCGTCAGCGGGTTCTCGGGCGACTCACGCCAGTCTCCTCGTCGCATCCGAGGGCGAGGATGACGGTGCGCGACGGCGCAAACCCCGCCTCGAGAAGCAGCTCCATCGCGGCACTGGGTCAGCGCGCTCGCTGTCGGCTCACAGAGCGCCAATCACGCCCGACTTGTCGTCCATCGCGCCGCGGCCCCAGATGCGCTCCCCGTCGTATTCGCCGCCATACGGCTCGTGAGTCCACATCCCCCGCGTCTCGCGCAGGACGGGAACAACGTCCTGGTGTCCGAGGAGGAGGAGGGGTTTGTGCTCTTCCTCTTTCCCGCGCCACTCATACACTAGCGCGTGGGTCATGACGCGCGTGCGCGCCATGTGCGCGTGCACGCGCGGAAAGGCTTTCTCGAGGTCTGCGTCAGCGGTCGCGGTCACCAAGCCCTGGCATACAGTCTGCAAACTCGTAGAACACGTCCCAGCGCGTATCGTTTCCGATGGGGCCCATTTCGTCGAAGATCTCCGTGGGGATCTTAACGGCGTCGCTGAGCCATGTGACAATGCGGGATTTTTGGCCGTGCAGGAGCGCGTTGACGTCCCATGTGGGCGAGAGGGGCGCGGGCTGCGCGCACGCGCCGGCGTGTTTGTTCGGGTTGTGTTTGAGCTCGGCGGCGTGGAGGGGCAGGCGGGCGCGCGTTGAGGGGTGCAGCAGCGGGAGGGGGAGGAGGAGGAGGCAGAGAAGCGCGAGCAGCGGTCGCGCCCAGCTGCGCCGGGAGTCGGTGTGCAGCGGGAGCTCGGGGTAGCCCATGGTCAGTACCTCGGGACGGCCCATGTCAGTTAGTGGGCAAGAGACAGCGACGGTGAGGTATATAAGGAGGCAGCGCGCACGCAGCGCTCGAGCGGATCGCTATATCCGCCGCGGCGATGGCCGAAATACGTCATCCGTGACTGCTTTCCGCTCGGCAATCTGTGGTCATTACAAGCTATATGACTATTATTAGGGCGCTAATCTAAAGTAGGCGACGGTGTGGGTGGGCTCGGACTAACTCTGCCGGGCATCGCGTGGGGATGGCACGTACGTCGGCGGGGGGTACGTGATTGAGTCCACAGGTGTATCCCCGTACCCCGGAGCCGGAGCTATCGCCGCTGGCCCGACGCCGAGCACAATCTCGTCCCGCCCCGCGTCCCGCTCGTAGACGGGCAGACTGGAGGACGAGGGGACGCGCACGACGGCGAGGCTTTCGAAGTAGGCTGCGGCGCGCGCGTCGGCGGCGCGCTGCGCCTGTTCTTGGCGCGCGGCGAGGGCGGCCGCGCGCTTCTTGCGGCTGCGCCGTTCGGAGCCGCCGGGTCCCCAGATACAGCAGAGAGTCTGGGGTTAGGGGGTGCTAACGGCGGGGGGGAAGCGGACAGGTCTCAGAGAGGAGGAGAGGAGAGGAGAGGCGAGTCGACATACCACAATAAAGAACACCCCGGCAATCGGGAGCATGATCTGGAACGCGAGGGTGCCTCTACCCTCCATGTCCGCGAAGACGAGTGTGCGAGGGAGAGTGAGCGTGGGCGTGGGCGTGGCGGCGGCGAGCGGGGTGGAGGAGGACGTCGGCGCCGGCGGCGGGGAGCGTGCATCGCGCTTGGGTACGAGCATGGGTGTGGGGGGCGAGATGTGGCTGCAGGCTATATAAGCCAGCCCACATGCCAAGCCGTGGCAAGTTTTGCAGTCTTGCGGGAGATGGCTCGAACCAAACACGGCCACTTGGGATGTTATGGATGCTGCGATACGTCGGAGCATGAAGCATTGCCCCTCCGCACCTCCCCTTCGGCGTCGGCGTCGTGTCCCCATCTCCGTCCGGGCGAGATTACCGCCCGGCAACGCCTGCACCGCCTCACTTGGCGTTCCGCAGCTCCGAGGCTGACATGCCGGGTGGGCCAGGATATACACATCGTCGAGCTTCCGGGTGACGCCGAGATGCACCGCGGCACGCGGCATACGTCATCAATCGGTTGGTGGGCACGAGATCCAGCCCCTCAGCTGCGCTGCCTGCGCCAGCTGCGCCGACTGCGCCTCATACGTCGGCTGGCTGCGCATCGCTGCACTCGGTACGGTCGGTACACCTCCGCGTGCATGTACTCGTGCATAGTAGTACAGAGTGACAAGTGACAAGCTGATGTATGGATGACAAGCTGTGTAGTGCTATAGGCTTAGAAAAGGACGGCTGCAAGGACGGACGCGCCGACGAAGAGCGCCGGCACAGTCAGCGCGGACCCGGACGCCGCCGTGCTGGTCGAGCCGGTGGCGGTGCCCGACGGGCTGGTGGACGTGATGTTGCTCGCGCCACCGGTCATGAGGCTCTGCGAGTCCTCGCCGCCGTTCTGGACGCCGTTGGCGAGCACGGCGAAGCCGATGGCTGGCGGGTTGTAGCGGTACGTAGAGTAGACGTTCTTGAGGAAGGTCGCACCGACAATCCACGAGATGCGCGAGGTCGACGAGAGCTGGATGGCGAACACGGCGCCGATGCAGTAGCGGCCGCTGCTCGAGGTCGCGCCAAGGTTGAAGTCCTCGTCCGAGATGTAGTATGTCTTGCCGCCGAACTGCATGGCCATGTTGACCTTGGTCGAGCACGGGTACTGGTAGTAGCCCTGCATGCCTTGGCTCGCGAGCGACTGCGAGCCGGGGATCGCGGCGTAGATGTCGCGCACGACCGAAGTCGGAGCTCCGATCAGGGTTGTGCCTGTGTCGATGGCGGCGTTGGCACTGGAGCTGCGGTACGAGACCTGCTGTCCGCTGATGGCGATAGCCTCGATGGGGATACGCCAGTAGTCCTCATCGGTGCTGGCGATGTCGATGTAGTTGATGTCACCCTGGTAAAGGGAGGTGTTGACGCCACCAAACATGATTTCGCCGCCCTGCTGCTCGACGTCCTGGACGCGACGCTGACCACGGAAGCGCGCCATGAAGACACCAAACTCGGGGTTCCTCCAGGTGTTCTCGGCGAGGTACTGCCACCATGGGGTTGCGCCTGAGCTGGCGATGGACTGGAAGGCGAGGCCCATGAGACCGGAAAGAGGGGGGTCGATGAGCTGGCCGCTGGACGAGCTGCCGACGCCCTGAGCCTGTGTCTCTTCGACGAGACCAAAGCCCTGGCTCTGAACGGTAAAGCCGGCACATGTCACGTTGTCGACGGCAATCTCGCCCGCAACGTCGCCCGATCCGTAAGAGACCTGGAACGAACGTTGTGGGAGCTCGAGGGTAGAGGAGGCCGAGTGGACAAACTTTTGCATGCCCTGGCACTGCTGGCATTGCTCGGACATGACCCAGAGATCTGAAGAGCCCGTGTCCATAATGACGTAGAAGTCCTGGGGTGGGGTGCCAATGGAGACGGTTCCGGCGTAGCTGGCGTCGACGTTGACGTTGATGAGATTAGCACGAGCACCATCGGCAGTGCCAGCACGCTTCTGCAAAGAGCGCTTGGTCTGTTCCAAATATTCGACCTCGCGTTTGTCGAGAAGACCACTGTACTTCTGTCGCAAGTTTGCCGCTTGTTGCTGGGCCCACTCCATGCGGACGCTGGGGTCTTCACTATATTGGCGAGAGCTGAGAGAGGTGAGGGGCATGGAGAAGGTGCCTCGCTCCTCGACTGCGACGGGGGAGGCGACGACGGCAGTCGCCGCGAGGACGGCGAGCGCAGCTGCGCTGGTGATCATGGCCGGAGCAGGAGGGAGGAGAGAGAGAGAGAGAGAGAGAGAGAGAGAGAGAGACAGGTAAGGTGAAGATGGAAAGGTGACTTTGTGGAAGGGGGTGAGTCACGGTGACAGACGGGAAGAGTGGAGTGGGGGGGTGTGGGGGAGAGGGAGGAGGTGTTGTAGGGAGTTGAGGTTAAAGACAAGAAGAAGAAGAGGAGGAGGAGGAGGAGGAGGAGGAGGATGAGATGGTGATAATAAAGAGAAAGACCAAGTAGTGGCTGTGTAAGAAAGAGAAATGACGGAGAGGGAGAGTCGGCAGTTGGCTGCGCGGCCTTGGCGGCGGCGGAGAGGAGGCGGAGAGAGCAATGGATGGATGACTGCGGGGAGAGAGTGCGCGTGCCAAGCATCCCCCTCCTAAGCCCCGACTGAAATCATCCACCCTCAGTAGACATTTTAAATCTCTCTCTCTGCCTCTCCTCCTCTGTCGCCTCTCTGCTCTCTCCTCACACCCCTCGCCTCACTCTCCACCCTCCTCCATACGCCCCCCCCCCCTCGGCCCCCCCCTCTGACCACGCCGCACGGCTTGTAGATCGCAGATCGTAGACAACTCGCGACTTTTGCACAGTGCACCAAGCGCGGGTGCACGCGCCAAATCGTCTTTTTTCCCTGGACTGGCGCAGTGAATCTCCCCTTTACCCCCCGCTCCGCATGCTCCGCAGTACGCGGTATTTTTCCCTGTTCCTGTGCAATACGCAGGGTAAAATATCGCCACCCGCGCCTCGGCGCCCTCGCTCTCCTCCGTCACATCATACATGTCCGCTGCATTCTGCGTCCCCAATCGCCACCGATCACCGATGACCACACTCTTCTCCACATCCATCCACACAGTATGCATAGAGCGTGTACGAATATCCCGACTGCGCCCCTCTGCGCCCCTCTGCGCCCTTTCTGCAGATGACGATCTTTGTCATGCCCAAAATGACCGTGCCTTGCCCTTTCGGTGTTCCAAGGTGAGTGACCCTGACCAGTACGTCATCTCTCTATCCACCGGCGTCCGGGCTCCGGGCATTCACCGTACTGTACATGACACTACTTCCGCCAAGCAAACTTTACAGCACCTGTGTGATCGACATTGGATCTCGAGCTCGTTGCCCAGCATGCCCAGAGACCACAGCCTACTCGCGCCACTCGCCCCATCCTCTGCCGTACATCTCGTACCATCGCTTCCTTCGCTAGTGTCGCTTGCTCGCCTGCCTCCGCATGTTACGCCGTAGTTGGTCTACCTGGGCTTGGGCTGTGCGGTGGGGACACGTGGGCCGAGCACCACAGCTCCTCCTTACCTCCGTAACCCTCCGTATTGTTTATGACGCCGAAGCAGGCGTGCGCGTGCGTCGCCTCGCAGCACGGCTTCCCAGCCCACGTCGACGGCTCGAGCTTGCTAATTGCTGAGTGCCGCTGACATCAGCAGCCGCCCCCGTGGGGACCCATGTATGTCTGTCAGCGAAGAGGCGTGTGTACGTGTGGATGTTGGAGTGGACAATCGACAATGCACGGCCGACGGCAAGGGCGATGGACCAAGTGCACAGGCTTGCGCTCGGATCCCTGGTCGGTCAGTGCGGCGCTACTCTGAGCCGAGGATCGTCTTGCTGGGGACGGGTACGCATCACGATATCAAGATGGGCATCTGGTGAATTTGCCCAGCTTCAGCAACTGGGCAGCTGGGCAGAACAGGTGAATTGCATTCAGTGTACAAGTCGTGTACAGTAGGTTGGAGAGAGAGATACCCAACAGCCCTGACGTCTGCGCAGCATAAACTGGCTCATATTGGGTGGCAAATCGAGGTCCAAGTCTCATGCTGCAACATAATAAACATGGCACATCCAGCGTTTTGGAGTCGAGTCTCGGTTCGATCCGCGGCAAAGACACTCATGTTTATGCTTGCAAAAATGGGACGAATTTGCACCCGTTCATGCCGGCCGAGACAGCCTGGGCGGCGGTGCTGACCCTACTCCCTACCCATACCCCACGCGGAGGCGAGTTGCATGTCATCGACATCAGTTCTGTCTCGATCAGCAACACATCATCCCTCCTCCTCAACCACTCCAATCTCGCATCTCTTATCCACGTCCATCTCACACCCCCTCCCTCTCATCCTCCCCATCCACTTCTCATGTCACTTTGAGCAAGGGCCGTCACACTCGGAGCCCCCACACCGAGCACATCGGCCCGCTGCTTAGACATCATGTCCCGCCCCTCACTCCCCTCCGTCCCCGTAGATGGCTTGCCCTACGACAAGCTCCATGCAGTCGCTACCGAGCTCGGGTCAGTCGATCCCGAGTCCCAACCCCCGACCTACTGGTTCGAGCTCACGGTCCGCTCAGCCGAGCAGGCACGTAACGAGGAGCGCCGCGGCTCCAAGGCTGGGCAATACGTCGCGTACACACGTCTGGCCATCGCCTACCAGAAGTGTATGTTTCACAAGCGATTCAAGGACGCGCGCGCCGCCGACCATGCTTGGGCTATCCGCGTCACGGATTTCAAGAGCGTAAGCGTCCACTGCCGCCCTTGGATTGCTGACACACCAGACATACGAGAGCGCGATGCACAAGGCCAAAGTCCTCAAAGAGGAGCTCAAGGCTGCCCCCGTGAAAACTCATCAGTCCACGTACGTCGCGCAAAGCACCGCCCGAGCTCATTTCAGGAACTCGGTCGATCACGAGCACGGAGGCTCCATCGCCGACCGCATGAAGGCGTTGAGTGGGCACGGCGTCGACGTCAGCACCAAACGTATGAGCCGCGAACTCGGTCCTCGTCCCGCTCCGCCTTCGCGCCAGCAGCACCCGGCCCGTAGGCCGTCGCAGGATCTCACACACCAGCGCCGTCCCAGCCTTCCCCGACCACCTTCAATATCCAACCTGCCATCCAATCTCAGTCGCCGAGGCTCGAGCGCCTCTCTCTCGGGCATGAACGGCATCTCCCCAAATCCAACCGGCGGCTCGACGAGAAGCAACTATAGCCCTGTCAAAAACTCGGTGCCGCTGTACCGCCCCTCGTCGGCCATGTCGACGGCGTCGGCTCGCCAAATCCACGCCTCGGGCTCGGTGCCCCCGTCGCCAGCTGCGATCGTGCCCTCACTCCCGACTGCTCCGTCTGAACCCCCCACTCCCCCTATCCAGCCGCCCGCTCCCCGTACCCAGCCGCCCGCTCCCCGTACCCAACCCTCTGCTCCAGTCACACAACCACCAACTACCCCATCCTGGACTGCCACTTCATCGCCGCCGCGCACAGCCCCTGTTGAGCCAGAGAAGGCACCAGAACGCCCTTCGTCTGTGTCCGCTTCCCAGCGGCCACCTCAACTTCCTCTAGCACCGCCTGTCTCGACATCTCTAACCTCGTCACCAACAGATGCAGCGGAGCGCCTAGGTAACTTTGAAAAGGCCTTTCCTTCGCTGGACGAGCTGGGCAAGCAGTTTGACGATGAGGGGTTCGCAATCCCCTCTTTGCCTGCATCTGCTTCCAATGGACCCCGCCCTGTTCCCGAGGCGCCCAAGAAGACCGATGATGACGCCGCAGCGTTCCCTGGCTTCCCCAGTCTGCCCAGTGTACCAACAGACCTGCCAGGTACGCGGGCGCCACCAAAGCCACCGTTGCCGCCCCCTCCTGCCCCTCCGCGCCTTGATGATCTCAAGAAGAATGGGGACCGCCCTCCCTCTCCACCCAACACGGACTCGCTGAGACAGGACCGATCGTCAGGCTCACTCAGCTTCCCTACACAGAACTCGCTGGCTTTGTCTACATTCAACTCGCCACACGCCTCCATCTTCGACGACGGCGCCAAGCTCAAGTCGCCGCTGCAAACATTGGGTCAGCAAGACGAGGTTTACGCTGCGTCACCAGTGTCGTCCGCTCACATCCCCGAGGGTGTCTCGTCCTCTTCTCCCGTCAACGGGTCCGCTTTCCTTTCCTCTCTGGATCCACTCGAGGCTGCGGCCGCGCATGTCACTTCACCACCTACAGACGCGTTGTCGCTCCAGCCATTGGCCATGCCTACACCCCAGGCGGCACCGGTGGCGCGTGCGGGGAATAACCCTGTTTCTGAACCTCCTGGTGCGACCCAAAGTTCTGCAGTCGCCCCATCAACGACTGCTCCCGAGAAAATTGCAAAGCCCAACTTTCCGTACACCTCGTCGATCACGCCCGACACACTTCGAGGTTACTTCACCAATCCCGCCGCGGATGTGCTTATCTGCGACGTACGGCCGGCAGAGGAGTTTGCTGTCGGGTTCGTTGGGGCCGAATACCACGAGCGAGGGTGCAAAGTGAGCGTCGTGTGGATCGACCCGACTGTACTCATGCGACCGGGCCTCACTTCGACGCAGCTCGAAGGCGCCCTGTCTCTCAGTCCGGAGGCTCAGCAAGTCGCCTTTGCCAGCCGCAATCTGTACGACTTGGTTGTGATTGTCGACTCTCGCTCGCGCAAATTTCCTGGCAAGGGTGAAGCACAGACGCCAGCGGGTAATCTGCGCAATGTCATCTACGAGCACGAATTCGCCAAGGTGTTGCCACGTTCACCCGCACTCCTCCTTGGCGGTTATGAAGCATGGGTAGAGTTCATCAAATCCCGGCAAAGGATCAACTTGAAGCGCATCCAGGAGGAACAAGCGTCCTTTATGCCTCGCATGCCACCCAATGGCGCTCCTAACGGCCACGCTTCCCCACTGTCGCCGCGGCCGGCGAACGCATCGCCCCAAGTTCCCGAGAGGCGTGCCGGTCATGCCCGCGAGAAGTCGTATCAGATGTCGCCGTCGCACTACTCGAAGGAGATCACTGAGAACTTTGCTCACGGCTCGCCACAGTCGATGACCGGTGGCCCGCACAGCCAACACCACTACTCCGCATCGTACTCGGGTGGTCCGGCATCGTACATGCCTTATCAGCAGGCTCCAGCAGCCAGATCGCCGATGCCTGTGCCGATGCCACGGGCATCACACGCGTCGTCCAACTCCATCTCGTCGAATTTGAGTAGTTTACAAGGGTATAATATGCTGTCACACAATCGCACCGATTCGTTCTCAAACTACTCCGTGTCGACGGGGATTGCTCCGCCTCCGCGCGCATCGGTGCACACAAGCGCCATGACGCGCAGACAAAGTAGCAGCGACTACATGGACTATGGGTCACCGAGGCAACAGACGCGCATCGAGTACCCGCAGGCCCACGGGCTCGTGCGTGTTCCACAGCCACCACCAGCTGCCGCCTCTCACGGCCTTGAGCGGCAGGATCAGCGCGCGCCGATGCCTACGCGCCTGCCGCAATGGACGGAGAGCGTTGCCGACAGCGGCGTCCACTATTGGCGCGATACCAGGCTTGGTCTTACAGGGCTCAAGAACTTGGGCAACACTTGCTACATGAACTCGACGGTTCAGTGCCTGAGCGCGACGTTCCCGTTCGCGCGCTACTTCCTCAATGAGATTTACAAACGCGACCTGAACGAGACGAGCAACCTCGGCACCAAGGGTCGCATGGCCAAGGCATTTGCGGATCTGCTCATGGCGCTGTGGAGCGAAAAGTGGAAATTCTTGTCGCCCATTACTTTCCGGCAGAGTATCATAAGCTTCAACGACCTGTTTGCAGGCAACGAGCAGCATGACTCGCAAGAGTTTTTGTCGTTCATGCTTGACGGCTTGCACGAGGACTTGAACCGCGTCAAGCACAAGCCGCAGATTGAAATGACCCCGCACCGCGAGAAGGCGCTCGAGGAGCTCACGCCGCAGGAGGCAAGTGACAAGGAGTGGGCACTGTACCGCCAGCGCGACGACAGCATTATCGTCGACCTGTTTCAGGGCCAATACAGGAGCAGGACGACATGTCTGACGTGTCGAAAGGTGGGCGTAGCACTTGCGTTGGCTTGCTCACACCAGACCTCTACGGTGTACGACTCTTTCATGTGGCTCACACTCGATTTGCCCGCGCAGAACAAGCCGGTATTGCTTTCTCAGCTTATCGACCGCTGGGTGTCGGCCGAGACACTCAGTATCGAGGATGGATGGTGAGTGATGAGCGAGGAGCGATAAGCAATGAGCGATGACGGAGGTTGTGATCTGAGTGAATTATGAGGGACATGATGTTCAGGCACCAACTCTGTCTGATGGTGATCTTGGTAGTGCCGTGCCTGGGACCTGCAACGGCATGCCCGCAATGCTGGGTGGCACTACCCTCCGGCAACGCCGATTCTGGTTTTGTTTTGATGTGTTCCCTTAGACATGCGCGCGCGCGCGCGCGCGCGACGGGATGGAGATGGCTGGCTGACAATAGGCATTGCGCGCATTGCAAGGCGCCACGCAAGGCGACCAAGGCGCTCACGCTCGTCCGACTGCCGCCGGTCCTGCTGATCCAGCTGAAGCGCTTCAGCTTTGCGGGTCGCCACTGGAACCGGTCCGACACGCCCGTGATCTTCCCGACGACCAACCTTGACCTAACACGCTTTGTGCCGCGTCGCGAGCCGACTGGTGCCGAGAATCTCGACGACCCACGCACGCAGATCGGGCCGTTCAAGTATGAACTGTACGGCGTGACAAACCACTCGGGCACGCTATCGAGCGGGCACTGTGAGTTACATTTTCTGCCTCCTGCCTTTCCTGGCAAGAATGCTGACAAGAACAGACACGGCGTTTGTGCGCGACGCTGGTGGATGGACGTTTGCCGAGGACAGCCAGATCTCGAAAGCGAGTGAGACGGATGTCATTTCGCACCCTGCTGCGTCTTACATTTTGTGAGTAAATTGGTTTGTGCACGCAACTGACATCAGGTTCTATAAGCGTGTTCAAGCATCTTAGATGTGTAGTTGTACTTTTATTGCATGCGTTGGTGGGACGCGTGTTGGGGAAGCAGCGGCAGCAGCGGCAGCAGCAGCGGAGAACCGGGAGGATGGACTCGTACTCTAGGGTCAAATTAAAGACGGGCTGTTCGGGGTGCATTCACCGGGACGGATGACGGACGCGTACTCCACTCGACACACCACTGTACAGTACTCTGTCATCGTTGTTTCAGTCGGTAGATCGGTAGTAGTACAGTAGTCTGTATTCCAGGAGTTTGGGCCCTCGGGCTCTCGGGGAGACGCCACTCCCGCGACATGCGCCACGCGGCCATGGGACGGTACGGTACGGTACGGTACGAGAGAGCGCGAGAGCGGCGACAGGACGACGCGTCTTGTGCGTTCAAATGTCAAAACCGCGTACATGTACTGTACTCGCAGTGGAGTAGTGCATACGAGCTGTGGCGCAGAATGTGTCAGTCTGGCAGGTCTTGGGGTCTTGGGATCTTGGGGGCCATGGCCGAGCTGGTTGGAACATCGGAACATGAGCAATTCATGTCCATCCTGCCGTCCTGTGGCGCACGCACTAGAGTAGAGTAGCGTGGACTACTACAGTAGTAGCTCCGCGTATGGATCATCCTCTCAGCTCCAGCCGCGCCGGGATGCCCGAATGAAATGAGAGAAATCGAGCCGTCCGTCATCATCAAAGGCAGGGAGGAGGGAGGAGGGCCCAAGGATCCAAGGACGAGGTCGGTTGCCGGCATTCCAACGAGTGTTTCATTCCAGAACGGCCTTTTGGCCCTGCACCCTTACTCTCTCTCGTCTTTGTCACGCACACCCTTGGCACCTCGCCTCGTCGCTTCTCACTCGTCCTCGCTCGTCGTCGTCGTCGGCGTCGTTGGCGTCCTCATCTTGTTCTCTTCATCATCATCATCATCTCCACTCCATTCTACTCCACTCCACTCCGCTCCGCTTTACTCTGCTCCTCCCCTATCTCCGACACTACCCCCACCTCTCCCTCCCCACACAACCTTGCGCACTTTCCATCCCTCAAGCAAAATAATCTCACCTTTGCCCATCAACCCCGTCAGCCCATCAACTCATCAACCATCAACAACTGCATCAGCATCGAAGCGTCACGAAAAGCGCCATCGTCGCACAGTCCTCCACGTCCCCGGCGTCCAGCCTATCCGCGTCCTTTGGCCCCGACACGCCCTTGACACGCCGCCGCAACGCCTCTTCGCCTTCGCCTTCGCCTTGGCCTTGACCCAACCCCTACCCTCTCCTCTATTCTCCATCCTCCTCCGCCAGCTCCGCCCCTCTCCCTCCGCGCCCTCCTCCAACCCACCCACGCTATCTCTCAGCACAGATCCAGCGTGCCTGCGCTCGGTTTCTCGTGAGTCCAGACTTGTCTCCACGCACCACCTCTGCCTTGATCTGTTTTATTATCTTGCATGTGCATGTGCTGCGGCTTGGATGGTTGGCCGGGAAGCTAGCATGATCACCGACGCGTCTGAAGGAGGGCGTGGGGAAGAAGAGAGACAGGGCTGAGACGGGGTGAGAGTGACAAGTGACATAGGCACGCCCTAAACCGCGACGCGCCCAGCCCGCGTTTCGGGATGCTCTCCGAGTTGATCATCAGCTCTGCTCTCTCCGCTCCCCAGTGATCAACGGGCGTTGCATGATGGCCGCAATCGCGCATGGGTCGACATGCACACACACACTCTCTCCGCTCACTCAAACACTGCCCTGCTCGGCTCATGATGGCTCCCAGATCCCAGAGGGTGGCTATAAGAGGGTCGCGAGAGGGTGGAAAGACATGATGGCGCCGCCACAGGACACATGCACACAACGCACAAGCCCGTGGCGTCTCCGTATCCGTGACCCCGGGATCCGTGTCGCTTGCAAGTCTTGCGCCGTCCCGTCTCTTCTCAATCTCCTCGTCTCCTTGGCTGGCTCATGACTCGTGGCTGCCTCGTCGTCGTCGTCTCACTCTCTTTCCCCGCTTCCAGCTTCCAGAACGGGCGTGACCAGTCACTGTCTCACCTCCATCCCCTCCTAGCCCGGCCCGTGTCCACACCGCCGCTTGTTGACATTGCAGCTAACCCCGCAGCCAGCAGACACAAGGGCCAGTGCACATACCAGGAATCGCGCTATCTGGCCGCCATCTGGGAACACCATCAACTGGGCGCCCCGCTGCCCCGCTGGTTCTGGTTCATAACTCCCCGACCAGCTCGCGTCACTCCCAACATCTTTCCATTCATCCCCCCCATTTCTCCCCCCCCCTCCCCCCCCCTCCCCTGCACACCATGTCTTCCGCCGCAGACGGCTCGGACACTGCCAGTTGGTTCGAGGCAGTCAAGGGCGAGGTCCCCTTTGCCCTCACCGTGAGCTCTCAACGGCTTTCCTTTGTCTAACAGCAGGGCCCCAGTATCACACTCTCACCACTCCCATCACCGTACCCACCAACAGTCTTCCTCTATGGAGGTAAAGTTGTCCAATCCCGACGCATGTCGGATCAAATGTGGGCCATGGACTTGAACCGCCGGGAATGGTCGCGCGTCAACGCCGGCACCGGACCGGGCGTGCGCTACTTCCACTCTATGGACGTTTGTGCGTACTTTTTCGCCACCCTCTTTGCTGCTGTGTGCATGTACTGACTTGTTATTTAGGGGAGGACAAGCTTGTCCTCTTCGGCGGCATGAGTGAGCAAGAGCTCAACGGGTCCAGCTTTGTACATGATGACGTCTGGTTCTTTGACTGCCGCACTCGCCGCTGGCTCCCCCAGCCTTCCCCCACCGCTGGCCCCTCCTTTGAGCCAATAGCTCAAGACCCCCAGCTTCTCCCTTCCGCACGCTACGCCCACCTCAGCGCTGTCTCGCGCGACAAGCTCGTCGTATTTGGCGGACAGCGACACGACAACACCTGGATCTACGAAATCAGCGCCTATGACCTCAAGCGTCGCCTGTGGGTGTCCAAGACGCCCCAGCCCGAGTCGCACGGACTGCACTCCAAGGGCGCATACCGGTCCGTCGCCCTGTCTACCAACCAGCGCGTCGTTTTCCCGCATTCTGACTCGCACACGTTCACCGGCACGCAGGGCCTGCCATTCTCAGAGGACGAGGAGGGCTACGGCGGCTCAATCTACGTCTACTCAAACTACGACTTTGCAAAGGTGAGGCGAGAGTTTGAGATTCTCCACCCACTCGATGATGGCGAGGCCGACCCGGTCGCATCAGACAAGTTTGCCTCTATCCCCGGATACACTGTGCGCGATCTCTCGACCAAGATGAGCGGCGTGTCCCAGCCACCAGGCCTGCGCTTCCCGTCCGGCGGCGTTGTTGGCCACCACTTTGTCCTAACGGGTCTCTACCTCGCCTCCACTTCCGGCGCATTCTCTATATGGGCGCTCGACCTCACTACCATGGTGTGGTCGCATATTGAGCCGACCGTGCTCAAGACTGGAAGCTGGAACCGTCCCGTCCTATGTCCCGACAGCGCTCGTCTCATCGTGTTTGGTTGTGCCGACTCGGACCTCACCACTGACTACGGCAAGCGTGCCGTCAACCTCAACCACGTCGCAGTCATCGAGCTCGAGGCGTACGGCATCTATCGCCCACCAAAGCAGGAGATCACAGACAAGGAGCAGAACATGGGTCTTACGTTACTCGACCAGAGACTGTTGATCGACTTTGAGGTCGTGTCCCTCGACAACCGCCGCGTCAAGTGCTCGCGGCGGGTGCTGGAGAAGCGCTGGCCGTGGTTCGCAGAGCAGCAGGCGTCGATCGTTTCCCGTGCAGGCGAGATCGTCCACGACGTGGCCTCGCTTGACATCCACGACGCACTTGTAGCGTCCCTGAGCCCCGCGCGTATGACGCCCACACGCCTTTACCTGCCCGAAGAGTTTGCCGTCTGCGTCGCCTTTGTTCAATACTTTTACACGCTCGAGCTGTCGACACCGCTGCAGCGCCGCGGCCCCGTGCTCACCTCGCTGCTGTGTCTTGCCAACCAGTACAAGCTTGAACGTCTGCGCAAGCTCGTCGTGCACACACTGCACACCCGCCTTGAGCCGGACAACGCGCTCAACCTGTTCCAGGTGGCGAGCCTCACAGGCGAGAAGCCCCTCGCGTCTCGTTGCCTGAGCCTGCTGAAGCACACCCGCTCCAATGGCAAGCCGCTGCACAGCTCTCACCACCGTCCGAGCGGTACTCAGAGTGCCCACGGCGGTAGCTCTGGCAGCGGCACCGGGTCCGCACCGCCGCACATGGGCCTCCCACCCGACGGGACGTCTTCTGGCACGTCTACGGTCAACGGGAACACTACCATCCAGGGCGCGCCCGAGCCACACATGTTCCGCCGGGCTCGCGCTGACTCCCTCACGTGTCCCGAGCACCTCCTCTCGCGGTTTGTGGACGGCGAGGAACTACTTCAGGAGGCATCCGCAAACTCGTCCAAGTCACAGGAGGACTCGATGGTTGTGTCGCTCTTCAGTGCACTTGACTTGAACTCGCCTCCGCCATCACCTGTTGTCATGAAACGCAACAACAGGCCTGTGTCGGAGCGGTCGCCGTCGCCAAGTCCCAGCCACGCGAGCTCGACGAGGAAGAAGCGTGCACCTCCGATGATGCCGCCTCCAGTCCGTGCTCTTCCCATGGTCCCCCATGATGCCCTCCTCACTCCTCCTGTTACTCCCCATACCCCCCTCGCCGATGCGGCTCTCCGCGCCTCCAGCCCGACCAACTCGGAGTCGACTTCGTCGTACCCGAGGACCCCGGCTGAGTCGACACGCGGATCCGTGTACTCTACCCGCGAGGACCCCATGTCTCCGATGGCCGAGCGCCGTCCGTCTATCAGCGATAGCAGCATCCGCGGGAAAACAGCCGCACTGCCAAGTCTGCCCGAGGACGATGCGCCGACGTTTGAAATCAGCGACGACAACACTCGAGTGTCGACTGAGACATCCGAGGGCGAGCACGAGACGCTGCGGACACCTTGCATCTCCATTGACCCCGGGAGTGCGCCGTTGAATCAGTCTCTCAACGTGCAGCAGGAGCAGGCCATGCGCAAGCTCACCGCCAACTCGGGACAGTCAAAGCAGCTCACGCGCGCCACTTCGCTCTCCTCGCTCGGCCAGCGTCCACACAGCGCCATGGCGACATACACGGCCCGCGATGTGCGTGAGATGGGCAAGGCCCAGGCGCAGATGAGCGTTCTCGCTGAGGACTTTGGCCCCGTCCTTTCCTCAACAGCCGAGCGCTCCAAGACGTGGGCGAAGCCGGCCGGCGAATCCGACATGTTCAGCAAGCGGCGCAGTATTGCTCAGCCGCCCGCGCCCGTTGACTCTGACTACGATCGCGATCGCGAGCAGCTGGCCAAGTTCCACGCGTTTATAGCCGAGCAGCAGCGCCAGGCCGGATCGCACGAGGCCGAAGCAATAGCCCGCAAGGCGACTGGCCGCGCCGGGCGCTCGCGTTTCGGCGCGTGGCGTTCCAAGGTCGGCAATGTACTGCACTAGCGCTAGTTGCGGAGCGCATCTGTTTTTTCGTCTGAGCATACCACACGTCACGTCACGTCACGACCTGTCCACACACACGTTCCGACCAGCTTTACTCTGTTTTCCATGTTTTCCATGTTTCTATAGTTATATTCGGGCTCTGCGAGCTGTGGTATGCATTTGACATGTGGCAGCTTGGCGTTGGTGGTGCCTGTGTGGCGTGCGACCCTGCTGCGCGATCAGCGACTGGGCGGAGACGATAAATGTCCCGCCTCGCCTGGGCGTCTGACACGTCTCTCTTCACTCTCACCTCTTGACTTTGACTCTTGACTCTGCTCGTCACTCTCGGCTCGCCCCTCACCCCTCTCGGGACCCCACCATGTCCCCGTCCCCCTCCCCCGCCCCCGCCCCGCTTCCGCCGACGCACCCGCTCGCCGCCGAGCTCGCCGCCCTCCGCCTCCAGGTCGCGCAGTACCGCGCCGCCGCGCACCAAGCCGGCATCGCGGTACAGGGTGTGCGGCTGGAACTCGAGCTCGCGCGCGAAGAGGCCGCGGGGCTGCGCGCGAAGAACAAGGCGTTGGAGGGCGAGGTCGAGGTGCTCCGGTGAGTTGGGCGCACGCATGAGGTCACCGCGGTGTCCGCCGCTCCCCTCCCCCCCTCCCCCCC